GTGGGTGGTGGTGCCCTGGTCCCTGGGGTGTCCAGCTGTGCCCTGGGGCAGGCAGTGCCAGTCCCTGTGAGCTCAGGGAGGGAGGGAGTGCAAACCTGGGCTCTGCTGCAGCTGGAGCAGCACCTCTGGCAGAGGGGCAGCACAGGAAACAGGAGAGCAGATCACTTCTGTAAAACTGCAGCAAGATGCCCTAGAGCAAAACCTGGGATTGCCTTTTATTGGGTTCACTTTTGGGGGATTTTCCTTCCAAATTGGAGGAAACTTTGTTGAGAAAATCTGCCAATGGCTTCTGGTGCACTTGGTTCTATTTCTGTGCAGTTAATTTTTTAATGATGTCTACACTTTGTAGCAGGACATAACAGACAGTGAGATGCATTCAGTCCCTAATTAATTTTGGAGGAGGTAGAATGGCTGCACATTATACTTTTGTATTCTGATTTATCATACTCTTCCTTTGGAAATCTGATTACTAAGCACCTTGGTAAATTGAATCAAATAAGAAGTATCTTCTAATACTAATGGAGTAAATAGCATTTAGTTGTTAACTGATTAATGTAGAACTTCAGAATCTGTGTAAATAGCATCATCAAGAAAAGCATAAATCTTTGATTTAAATGTATTTAAATCATTGCAGCATGGATTCACTTGTGTAGCATTTTCCAGTAAACAGGACTAGGGAATCTTTTAGATTCATGCTTCAAAAGTAGACCAATTTCTCATTTGTTTGTTTCTAATAATTGTTTTAATTAAGATCAGACCTGCACAATATCAGAGTTCAGCAGGCAGGCCAGGACTCTGCTCCCTAGTTGGTCATTGAATGGCTCTCAAACTTTAGCCCTGACATGCAGAAAGCAGGAGTGTGTTAACTTTGCTGGAAACAGGGAACAGCTGCCTCTGCATAATTCCAGTTTATATTTCTGATAATTGTACAAAGCTGCTTTGAATTTTCTGTTAAAGGAATGGCAGTCTTAGTACAGCTGCTGCATTTTTACAGGTGCTGGGTGGTATATTTTAACAGCCTGGGCCACTGAGGCACAAGTTACTAGAGAGAGCAAGGTTGCATACCCTAGCATACAGCTCCTGGATGATCCATGAGCACAGCCTGCTCTGTTTGTGGGCAGGAGAATTGTTGCTCCCTCTGGAATCCTCCCTTGCTCTCCAAGTCAGGATTTTCAAGGTTATGTGGGGCTGCTTTTGTTTGTTTTTTCTCCTTTCCTCTCCTTCATCACCTTGGGCACTTTTCTCAGTCCTTTTCCCACCTCTGCCTTAACAGAAGTTTCCCAGGGGGAACCGATTTGTTCCAAATATAGATGTTTGCCAGGTTGTCCACCTTTTGTCTCAGGATTCCTCTCCAGGCTCTCAGCTATAACATTAATCTTTATTTATTTGCTTTATTTGAGTTGGGCTGGTGCTGTTTGAGTTCTAGTCCCAGGAGCCCTGAGGTTATGATGTTAATATAGGTTTATTTATATAATTGATGTGAAAAGCAGAAGGAAAAAGCTCTTGTTGTGCAGGTCTCTTCAAAGATCTGTTTTCCTAAGAAAGGTCCTGACTTTTCTAAAAAAAAAAAATTGGCACTGGCACATCCAAGAAAGGTTTATACTCCTATGTTGGGGTAAGGAAAAACTTTTCCCAGAGTTTGGAGGATTCATCCATCAGTTCTTCCACTTGAAGGAGGGAGCTGTGTACAAACTTGCTGGGGAAGTTGTGGGAAGAGGCCAGTGTTTGTTGGTTGCAGGAATTCTGTTGATTTATCAATTAACAGAAGCTTGTTTAAGAAATAAATTTTCACTTTACCTTTCCACGTTCCTTTTTTACATTACATTTCCAAAGTGTGTCCACTTTGCATGTTGAACATAGATTTTTTTTTTTTTTCACCCCCACCCTTCTAATCCTCTTTTCTGTCCTGAATTTGATTGGTGCAAGTTATTTTGACAATCATTCCTGGGGTCTTTTGACAACAATGATATCAATAATTAAAGAAAAAAAAAATCACCTTCTTTTACCATCTCTTTAGAAGAAAAAGACTGGATTTCTTCTGTCATGGGCAGTGCAAAGCTTCCTGTCTCCATCTACACTGCCAGCAAGGAGTTGGAACTCTTGATGCCTCTTAGAGAAATTGGATTAAGTGGAGTAGCTCCTAGATCCTCTTCCCAGAAATATCTCTGCTCATTACAAGTCAGTTTAGTGGGTTTATATATGGTAATTTTCAGTCAGAACTCAAAATGAGGGACCCAGTGGTTTCTCATGTACCAAGATTCAGGATGCTGCCATCATAAAACTCAGGAATGACTTTGCTTGATCTCTTGGGGTTTTTTATGACTTTTCCTCTAGGCTGTGCAAAAGAAAGCATTAAGAGCACAGCCCTGACTGATTTTCTGATCTGCTGGCTGCAAAGCTCATGTGTGTGCAGTGCTGGACATCATCTCAGAGCTGATAATAACACTTCTCCCTCTGAAAGGGGGGAGTGGCTGCATAGACAAAGTGGTGAGCACTATTGGAAAGAGGATTACCAGATTTTAGGATGAATAATAATAATAATAGGATGAATTTTAGGATGAATATTGGGGTATAATGTTGCTAATATGATGAAAAAGAATGCACATTTCACTTCTGAGTATTTAGATGGGGACAGCAGTCCTGAGGGTGAAGAGCACAGGTATGACATTTGTGTTCCACTCTTACATGCAAGTCCTTTTACTTCCTGTCTACTAAAGTTGGTGTCTATTTTTGTCACCTATGAAAGATTCTAGAATTGGTAGATTTTCTTTCATGAGACATGTTGTGAGCTGTTTGAGCTTTTAGTTGCAAACCCAGGTAATGCTCTGCCTCTAATATTCAGTCCTTTCAGCTGTTTAGATAATTTTAGGGCAGAACCTCATTTGTGTCCCTCCTATTAAAATCTGCAAATACTGTGTTGGTCTGTATTGCAATCCAGTGTAAAGCCAGTGCTGGGATTTTGTTTCACCTTATCAGTTTGCTTACCAGACATTATTTTCTCCCCAAAAAACAGAGCAGCTCCTAAGGGCTGCCTTCCTGCTTTTTTTTCTCCTTTTACCTGTCCTACATCGGACACAAGGAATTATCATTCAACTGCATGGGGAGGTGAATAAGGATGGGCTGTGGTTTGCTCCCCCACTCGGTCTGCAGCACATAAAATTCCTTAAATCTTTTTTTAATCCAATCTGTGGAAGTTGAGAAACTAGAACCAGATTATCTCAGCTCTGAAAATTGGCTGAATTAGAGGAAACTTCAGGGACAAAATGTTATCCAAGTACTTACACTCCCAGGTGTGGATCACAAACACAAGGTTGCATTACCAATCTCAATGAATGCATGGCTGGTATTATTAAAAAATAATCAGGCAAGCAAAGATTAATCTTTTATTCTGTGTGCTTTGCTGCTAGTGTGAAGCACAGGGTTTGGCATTTACTCATAGATGCACATATGGTGATTCCAGTTGACTCAAAATAGCTCCATTCTATGAACCCAAAGTTGAGATATTTTTTGTGTGAATTGGAGCTCCACAGCTTTTCCTCAGTTCTATCTCTTTGACAGTAGGGTATATAGCACCAAATCTGCAGGCTTTAAATCTATCTGCAGGGAAAAATCTGTTCAGAACAAGTTCTAAACTAATTTGCACTTAGTTTGTCATAGGAAATACAAGGACTTTTCTTGTGCATCACTTTCCTGGATTGACCTAGGCAAGCAAGGATATTTGCAGGCTGTTTTGGTAACTGAGTATGCTGTTATGTGTTTTTAAAATGGTGTTGCAAATGGACAGGAGCTCTAAGTGTGTTTGATAGAATCAAAGAAAAACTTGATGTTGATTATCATTACTATTTTGTGACTTCTGTAGGGAGTAGTAATTAAATTACACTTACTTTGCAGTATTATATTTGCAACTGGACATAAATGTTTTGGGTTTTGTTTTGCTGTCTTCAGCTTGTAATGTTTTTTAACATTTATCTAAATACTGTAGAAAGCACATGTCAGTCAACAAAGTGAAACAGCATCTCTATTCAGGTTTTGTTTACTGTAAAGGTTCTGAGCTTCTTAATAAATTGTATATCAGCATCTGGATTGTCTGGAAAAAACACCTCAACAACCAACAATCCAGGATATCCTTTGTTGCATTTTTGCATCTTTTTATTTCCAGTTTTTTCTTTCATCTGTAATCCTTTCCCCTCCATTAGTAAAGGATCTCTTACAGTCCTGAACCATAGCCCATATTTTATCTTTCTTTTCTGTGCTTTGCAGTAAATCTCAGCACTGCAGATGTCTGTAGTAGCTCATCTCTCACCAAACTGTGTTTCCTCAGCCCTGGGGCAGAGGTTGTAGCTGGGCTTTGATCTCCCCTGTGAGGGAGCAGGAGGAACTGGGCACCCCCAGGAGTTCTCAGGGCTCCTCTGGCCTGGCCTTCCAATGCTCCCTTGGGGCTGCTGCTGCTGCTTGATTCTCAACTCTGAAAAACAGGGAAGATGGAAACTCATCACTTTTGTTATCCTCATTCCAGGGCAATTATTTTCTTGAGTGCAGTAAAGCCATCTTCTGTGACTGCAGTTGCCCAAAATAGGCCTTATGGCCTGTGCTCATAGGTAATTAACTCCAACAAAGAGAAAAACTGTTCTGCTGACAGCCATTTGTGAGCTTTCATGGCCTGCTACTCCTCCACACCTGCTGGGCTGCATATTTCTGACTCTTTGGGAAGATACCTGCTTGTTTATAGAAACAGAGTTTCAGGAATGCCAACAAAATGTTTATTATGACTACTTGTTAACTCTGTAATGCAGAAATGTCTTGGACATCCAATGAAACTGTTACTGCTGCTAGATAGAGCAAGCAGGTTGGGTTTGACAAATGCTGATTTCTTCTTTCTCTTTTCTTAAAATGACTATTTCAGTAATTTACTGAATTTCACTATTTTAGGTGTCGTCACGTTCCATCTCCCCTTCCACAGCAAATAAAACTATAATGAATTTTCTTTGTTGATTTTTCAGGCATTCAAAAGGGATGTTCTTGCTGATTCAAGACCAACCAGTTCTGTCCAGGACTCTACACTGGGGATAAGGACATGGGACTCCTCCTGCCAGATTCCAGCTGGTTCATCACAACTGACATCTTGGCTGACAACTGTGAAAAGGATCTTCGGATTATTCGATTTGATTTTTGTGGGAGACCACAATCCCCAAACTCTAGGACATATCAGGTACTAAATCAAACATTAAGCTTTTCCATAACAGTCTTAGGATTGTTATTTGTTTCTTATGAGTTTAGTTTATTTAGGCATTCAGATCTTACTCTTTATTTCTTGTAGGAAATGGAAGATCCTTGGTTTTACATCTTGCAGTAGCTGAGTAATGACAAGGAGCTGTGTTTCTTATTTCCTATGGAAAATTTGGGGCTTCATTATTTATATAGCATTTAAAATTATTATTATAAATTGTAATTGCTGATCATGGTTATTATCCTAATTACTAAATTGTTTGTTTCTTTCTTCTTCGTTATTTTTGAGAGAATGCTTAATTTTATTAAGACTAGTTTTGCTACAGTTTGTAGTAAGATAATTCCTGCATTCAGAACTTGTCCAGTCAACAAGGAAACTTTACAAGTTCATGAAATTTATGAATGTTTGCACACTTGGGGTGTTATGATTCATCTATTTACTTCCAACCCCTTGAAGATGAATCTATATATGATTTTCTTTTCCTTTGAGAAAATCTTGCCTTGTTTCTGTTGGAGCCTAGTTTGGAGTATCTGAATGTTCAGGTGGTTTTTTTTAAATGTGGAAGAGAAAATCTGTGAGCGTTATCCAAGAGTGTAGCTCTCAATTCTTGTTTGTGTGGATGTCTGCTGTTACAGACCACTGATAAAAGTGGTTAAAAACAAATCACTCCTCCTAATACAAGACAGAAAATGTGTTATAGCAGAGGGGTATCCTTTTTGCAAAATCATGTTTATTTTGGGTAGCTATTTAGGTATGGGTGGCTTTTTAATTCATTTTAAATTACTCAATAATTAACTTTTTCTTTGTCCTAAAGGTTCCATATTTCTTGTAGAATTTTAAAATAACCTTTTCTAATGAGGATGTCTGATATTCTTACTGTAAAAGATGAAACTGATACAATGAAGGGTTCAGAAGCTGAATTTAAAGATACAGACCCAGTTGAAAACCTCAAAAAATCAGGAAGTGAGGAAGAGATTCAAGTGGAGAAGGATGAAAATTGTCCTGATAACAAAAACAACATGCCGGTAAGAAACTTTTCACTTTATTCTTCCCTGTATGTCATGTTAAATAACTCTGTGTCTTGTTCTCCATTCTCTTGATCCTCTTGTATGTTTCTTTGGTACAGTGAACAAAACTTTGTTGGTTTTAGGGAAGCAAATATGATGATTATTGCTTCCTCTCTCCTCCTTTGCCCCACTTCTCTGTTTATACTCATATAAATATGACTCAGTCATTTTTCATTCTGTGAAGTAGAGGAGTGGTTTTGCTGGGAACCAGACAATTTGCCCATGTTTGTGTTTCCCTGAGTGTATATGTCAAATCTTTCATTGTAGCAGAACAAGGAACAAACTCAGGCTGGCTTTTGCTGCTGCTGAATCCTGACAGAGTTTGGAGCTGGGCTGTGTGTGCTGTGTTGCTGCTTTGGCCATGGTGCTGCAGCTCAGCCAGGCAGGGGTGGCCAGCCCAGGGCTTTTGAGCTGTTGCACTTTCGGGTGGCTCAGGTGTGGATTTTCCAGCAGAGCTGTTCAGCACAAGGCTGCAGTAATCAGCTGTAGGTAATCCAAGTCCCCAGGAGCCAGGGGGATCCAGAGCTCCTGAGGCCAGCAGGTCTGGCTGCTGCCCCAGCCACCTGCAGAATGAGCTGGGCAGCATCACCCTGCCTTGAGGGGCAGCAGATCCTCCCTGCACCTTCTCCTCTCTGATCTTCACTGCTTGACAGCTTTGGGAGGTGACTTTTAGGCAGGAAAGCTGAGGCAGTTCCTTGTGCACACACTGAAAAGCTGAGGCATATAAATGGATGGCTTTTGGAGGTGGGAGAAGTGAAGTACCTGTAAGGAAGTTGTGGCATCACATTTCAAGTGAAAAGGAGGCAAAGCAAATAGTGTGAAAATACCTTGTGTCAGTGGAGAACACACTGATAAGGAAGGGTTGGGAATTTGTGGCAGCACATTTAATCTAATCTGAGATTTAGGTGTGAGAGAGAGCTCACTCCTGGCTGAGGCTGCCCACCTGGTCACTGAGGAGTGTCAGCAGCTCACATGAGGGGAGGAGTTCAGGAAAGCAACTGAAAATTTCTGACACAACCTACACAACAGGCCAGATCTGTAAAAGGAAACACAGAAACTTGTGTTTGGCAAAAACTATTGTTGTCCATAGGAATTTTGTGTCTGTGGGTTAATACTAAACAAATTTTTTATAAAAATCCTGATTGGGATCTGAGTGATCTCTTGTGGGTTGCAAAAACAGGACAGTAGCTTATTAGATTCTTGTTATTGAGATTTGAGTAAGAGGCTCTTTGGGGAGTAGTTTTGTTCAAGACTAACAATTCAATATTCCACTGAGTAAAGTAAGCTTCAACTGCTCTGGTAAATTGCTTCCAGATAAATCTTGTAGGCCACTGCAATAACAATAGTTTTACACTTTAATATCTACTGGCTTTATTAAGGCTGGCATCGGTGTAAATAGATAATTTTATGGAAAAAATAAATCCTTGAAATGAAATATTTCTCCTGTAACATGAGAAATAACTGCTACTGAAAAGCTGGGAGATATTATAGCTGAGCTGCTATTTTCTTTAATTAATGGAATATTCTAGTACTGAGCCTTAAAAATTAATCTAGGGTTTAGTTATTTTCATGCAGTTCAGTAATTTGGAAAAATCTCATTCACATTTTTTCATTTAACAAATTTTAGTGTAGAAATTTCTATGAGACTCAAGTGGCAAACAAGAAATAAACATTCCTGCAAACAACTGCTGCTGCTGTCTCCTGAGAGTGCAGAGGGATGAATGAACCTGGCAGTGCTGCCAGGGGCTGTGGGCTGGCAGGGGGTTCATTGCTTGGCTGGGAGCTTGTTCAGGAGCAGGAGCTGGGGGCTGAAGTGATGATCTCACATCCACAAAATGGACTGGACACTGTGTGGTGAAGGCAGGTGGATAGAAACAGCTCTGCTGTCAGTGTGGTGTCCTGGGGTGTCCATCAGAATCAGAACAGTGATGTTACATGAGCAGTTCATTCAAAACTCAGGCTGAGGGTGCAGATTTCCAGGGTGGCAGGAAGACAGACAGTTACCAAATGGAACCTGGCTACTGTGAGCAAGCCCCTTGCAACAACTGAAACAGCAGAAGTTAATGTCACTTGTACTGTGGAGGCTGCCAGTGCAAATATATAAGCCTCATATTTGAGGATTTCCCATTTAAAGCATGTTTTATGCTAAAATACAAAACAAAAACTTGGGGTTGTCCATAGTAAAAAAACCCTTGTGGAACAGTAGCAGTCAGCATGTGTTTAACTAATGGATGGTTAAACAGTTTGAGATTTCAGTGGACATAGTACTTGTCATTAAGTGCAGGTTAAATGTTACTGTGTGGTGGGAAAAAGAGCAAAGGATTTGCTGAGAAATGTTAGAAAGGATTATCAGAAACTTACTGGAATTTGTTGTGTACTTTGTTTACTAACTGAGTGCTTCAGAGGATGGGTTGGGTGTGGAGGTTGTGTGGGGGTTGGGTTTGGCTCTCCTCCCTGGTGGCAGAATAGGTTTGGTACCTCCTGACAAACTGCAGTCACATTCCTCAGTACAGTTAGCACTTCATTTTTGACTTCTTTAAACCATGGAAAAAACAGGCTGTGCTTTTTCCTCTGTCTGAACTTGACATTCCATCGATGGAATACTCAATGATAAATTTAATGCTCAATTTATTGAGCAGGGCATCTAACCATGTTCCATCATCAACTTTGATCTTAGCTACACCTTCCTTCCATTGCTGTGTGCTCTTATGAATGGATTCTGAATGATCAGATAGGCTCATACAGCACATTCCATTGTGGGCCATTGAATTCAGGCATGTTTCTGGAACAGCACAGTTCAGAAACTGATGGTTGTGTTTTGAAATGCAATTGTGGTTGTAAATTCCAGATTATTTGGAGGTTGTGCATTAATAACTGATTGGCTGCTGTGTCTGCTGTTGGAAGTACAATGTAAATGAGGAAAACACCTAATTAGAGTACATGGCCAGCACTCCCAATTTCTCTAAGCAGTGCACAAGCAGTGTTACTGATACAGAGAACATTTCTTAGCTGGCATATTTGCAGTGAGGTTCAAGTGTCATTTAGATGGCACTGGAGACAAGAGGCACTGTTATGAAAAGTACTTTGACAGAAGTCATGTGCACATCAGCACTATGGTGGAACTTGTGATCAAAAGGGTTTTGGTTCACCAGTCACTGCTCTCCTACCTGTTCATCTTACCCAGGCCAGGTGCCAACCCATGAATTCAGAATTAGCTGGAATACAGGGTCTGTGTTGCCTCTGTCTCTGGGTGGTGAGGCAGTGTCATCCACTGTAAGGACAAAGCTGCAGGAAATACTGACAACAAATTAAAGATCCTGGATTTATCCTGCAGATACTCCCTTATGTTTATTATTAGAAAGACTTCTGTTTTAAAGCCCAAAAAAGCATCATGGCATGAGTGCAGGGTCGTACCCATCTACTGTATGATAAAGGCAAGGCAAATGTTGTGTTAAGTGAGTATAATTCCGATTTTGTTTTATGCTGATTAGGCAGATATCCTTGTCCTTTGGGGTAATTAGATATTTTTTTTTTTACTTAGCGACTTGACATCTCTCTTCCTGCAAGTATCTTCCTTCCATACTAACATAAACCTTGAGCTGCCCTCTCTGTTTCACAGCTGAAGTTCTCTGAAGTCTTTTTTGCCACTTCCTCAGTCTTGTCAGGATTTACCTGTCTTTGTCTCCAAAATATGGGATGTAATACTTTTGAATAGATAAATGATTGGGCAGATTCTCTTATTCTTGAGCTGCCTCCATGTCCAAGGGTGAAACTATTTTTCCATCAGTCATCCTCTACTGTGTCATGGAAAATTGCTGTCACTGCTCACTAATGCAGGACAGCAAGTGACCATGGGCCACACTGTTCTTTCCCTCAGCATTCCAAAGCTATCCATGGCTCTTGGGACTGCAGCACTTGACTGGATTTAAAATTGAGACCTAATTTTGCAGAAAGGTAAAATACTGAATGTCCTTAGAGGACTCTTTGTTGAGGTTTGTCATGTTGTGCCTATCCTCAGAAATGCCCAAATGGTGCTTCAGAAATAAAACCCCTTCTCACAAAACCCTTCACACGTCTGAGTTTGCCATCTTGTGCCTGACCTGTTTTTATCCAGCTTGTTTAGACAGCACACTGATGATAGAGGAAGGCATGTAACAGCTCCAGATCTTTTCTGCATTTAGTATATGTGAGCTGGTGAGGTACTTAGGAAAAAATAAAGTAGGCAAATACTCCTACTGAAAACCTGGTTATTTATATGTTTTTGATAAAGGCTGTCTTACTTCCCTTTTTATTTTGCAGTTGGAAATGTAGCATAGTAGCTGGTCTTAAAAGTTGTGTTGGTGGGGTTTTATCAAAGGCAAGAACCTAATCATTATTTTCATTATGCAATTATTTGAAATACTTGCTTTTAAACAGTCTTGAAATCCTGCCCATAATGGCTATAAATAGGGCTTTCATTAACAGTGTTTTCTTAAGGCAGTGAAAGTCTTTGAGAGCTGCAAATATAAAGAAATTGCCTAATTTGCACTCACCAAGGATTGCATATTCTAAATGAGCTAGAAATTATTTTTCATAAATGGGGAACATAAAGATGTTCTGTAGGAGCAAAACTTCATAAATGCAGAGAAATTAGGACAGAGATAAAATTCATGAGCCTGAAAAGAGAGATTTGTGCATTAACAGCTACAATGTACATTGGCTACCTGCTGTCCTGGAATTCCAGTGGAAGTGGTGTCATCCTCTGTCAGTGTGGTTTTATCCCAGAAAGGAATAATTGGATTGTAGCCACCCATTTCCAAGCTCTGAGAGGGCAGTTGGTGGTGGTGCCAGAGGAATTTGGGGTTTGTACTTCCAGGCCAGACCTTGCACCTTTGGGCTGTGCTCACCTGAGCTGTCCCTGCAGCCCCACCAGCTTTGTTCCTGTGCTTCTCCCATGACATGTGTGTGGTGCTTACTGCTCACGGTCACAGCTGGCTCGGGGGGACTGGGAATCTGGGTTTTGACATCCTTGAAGTTACACAGGGAAGCCAGGAGTCCACATCTATCACAGGAATGTTGGACAGGGCAGTTGTTTCTAGATGAGAAGTTTGAATATGATGGGTGGAGTTACACTTGTCTCATCCTGTGAAGGAAAACCTCCCTCCTACAGTGGCCCTCCAGCTCTCCCCAATGTTATTGGTGTTTAGTCCCAACAACCATTCAACCATTTCTTCGTTGTTTTTTTTTTTTCAAATCACTCTTAAAAATAACAGAAATATGTGTGACTTATCTAATTAGTGAGCAGGAGCTCAATGTCCTGTATAACTGGGTTGAATTCCCTCTTGTGCCCTATCAAATCTGGATCTGGGGTGTTTCCTTCCATACATTCTTTTGGCTTATGTACTGGCTTCAAAGCTTGCAAAATTTTGCAAAAGTAAACAATTTCCTGAGTATAGATTCTTTTGTCTCTTGACAGTGAGCTGAGGACTCCACTGACAGTCCTGATGTGACTTTAAATTTGCACAACTTGATTTGAACACACCTGAGCTGATTGAGGCTAGAGTAATTGATAGGAGCTTGGGAAATCATCCAGTTTTTGAAATTTAGTAGCTTGAAACTTTGTCAGGGATATGCAGTGCCAGCTTTCAGAATGCAAGGAATGCTTTCAGAGGAGATGATGGAAATGAAAACATATTTTACACGTAACAAAAAAACTCAAAGTCTCTGTGTGGTTCCAGGTATGGAAACAGTAAAACTCAGAGTCTGAATGGCTCCAGGTATGAAAGCATTTCAACTGTCTCTGCTGCTCAAAATCTCAGCAAGCTTCCTTTAAAAAGGAAAAAAAACTCACTGCTGGTGAGTTCAGTTGGTTTTCAGTGCAGCTATTTAAAATTCTGTTACATGTGAAATGAGCTCCCTTCTGCTGCTCTTCAGCTAAGCTGGTGCAACATCCAAAATAGACATGTGGGATTTGAGGAAAATGAGAGAAAAAGCAGTTCTGCCTTTACATGGTAGAGCTCTTTGCTGTAGGTGAGGTTTCCTTTTAGTGATGTTGTATGCCCTGCTAAGAAGTTCAGGTGCTTGAGAGACATCTCCTCTGAGCTAAGGCAAGGAGAGCTGCATTCATAGAGTTTTCCAGTGTGGTTTCACTTCAGTTTCCTTTTTAAAGGAAGAAATATTATCCATTAAACAACACTTGAAATTGCATTACTGATGTTAATTTGTCCTTACAAATATTAGGCCTGTGTTCACTAAAACCTGTTCTGTTAAAAGCTTGTCTATTCATCAGTTTTAGTTCTCCAGGGAAACCAGTACTTAAATTATGTGATGTCACTCTAAATGTTTCTATTCTTGTGCTGCTGGCACTGAGGGCTGAGTTAGTTTTAACTATGCAGTTAACAAATCATTAAATGCTTTTGTTGATTCAAATGTACCTTTCAGCTGTGCATATTGTAGTAAAAGCCTGGTAATTTATTTTAAGGAATAATTGTAATAGAAGAAGGGCTTTGGGAGGAAAAAGCAAATTATTGCATAATAAGTTACTAAAGTGGCTCTGGGAGGAGAAAAAACATAATAATTCATAGTAAATTACTAAATGAAAAAAAAATCATCAGTAGCCCATTTTAAAACATACTTGTATAGGTCCCAAGATGAAAGAAAAAGATCCCACATGTTTTAAGCTGCTTGTGATAGGTTATCATCTGTTATCTGTTCCCGTGGTAGAGGCAATGCTTTCCTTTTTTTAATATAATTTTTCTACGAAGGTTTCAGGAGTAGGTAGAGAATTTATAAAAACCATGTCACGTTGCCAAGGAAATTAGGAAACAAGAATTGAAAGTGTAGCTGAGAGCTGGCTGAGTGAGTAAACTGCTTGGATGCCACTGAACAAGGATAATGCTTGGTTCCTGTAGAAGTGCTCTGGGAGGAGAAAAAGCATATTAATTCATAGTAAATTACTAAATGAAAAAAAAATCATCAGTAGCCCATTTTAAAACATACTTGTATAGGTCCCAAGGTAAAAGAAAAAGATCCCACATGTTTTAAGCTGCTTATGATAGGTTATCATCTGTTATCTGTTCCCGTGGTAGAGGCAATGCTTTCCTTTTTTTAATATAATTTTTCTAGGAAGGTTTCAGGAGTAGAAAGAAAATTTATAAAAACCATGTCACGTTGCCAAGGAAATTAGGAAACAAGAACTGAAAGTGTAGCTGAGAGCTGGCTGAGTGAGTAAACTGCTTGGATGCCACTGAACAAGGATAATGCTTGGTTCCTGTAGAAGTGCTCTGGTATCTCTTGCTGATAAATGAAGAAGGGAAATCAAGGCCAAGCCCACTGAAAGCGGGAGAGCCCCGAATCCGCAGCAGCTGCTGCTGTTGCTGTCCCAGCCGTGCCGTGTCGGTGCTAACTGTCACAGCTTTCTCCTGTACAGCCTGAGCATTAACCCTGTGCCCTGAGCTAATGTCCCTTCTCTGTTGTGCCTGTCCCAGCGGCCAGCGCAGTCCTTGGCACAGACGGCCAAAAGGTCCAAGGTACGGTAGCCCGGCGTGCTGGCATGCGAAGGGAGCCCTTCATGCTTGGTGCGGCTTCGTTACTTTGTGCAAAGTGCCTTTAGTTTTGTTTTTTGGCATTGTAGCTTTGTTTTATTCTGTTGGGTTTTTGTCTTGCCTAGTTGTTTGCTTTTGTGATTTGCCTTTATATTTTTGGTGGCTTTTTATTGTAACGGAGAGAAACACTTTCCCAGTGTTTTATTTACTTTTCTTTAGATGTGCTCTATTGTGCTGGTAGTGCCTTCAAAAGCTGCAATTGCTTGGGTATTTTCATTCTAAAGGGAATTATTTATTCTATTGAAAACGTGAAGAATGCTGTTTTCAGCCATTTTGTTTTTCATATAATGAATGAAAAAAATAACGGCTTATGGTATATTTATATTATCTTTTATAAGCCATAGATTTTAATTTTACATACTTTCCTTTAGTCAAACACAAAGTTAAAGTTAGTTCGGAGCCTTGCTGTATGTGAAGAATATCCACCACCTCCCACAGCTGAAATATCCCAGGACCTCCAGGTAAAAATCACCTTACTGAAGTTTCTGGAACTATTTCAAGTAACTTCTTGTTCAAAAGAAAATCTGTTGGGTATTCTTTAAATATGTGGATACCATCTGGTTTTATTTTTTTTTTATACTGATCTAATAGAGGTGGTAATATCAGGTGCAGAATTTGCTGCTTTTTTTTCCTGAGCTATGCTGGTTGATATCTGTGGGCAGAAGGAGGGGGGTTGTCAGTTCTTTTAACTTGTTAGTCCAACAGTGCACTTGAGGGACTCTTAAACTGCTTAAGTGCTGTCTGCAATTAGTAAGACAGAAACATTGTGATTAGTGTGGAGCCTAATTTACTGTCTTTGTACATTTTGAAAATGGAAACAGTTGTGATTTCTGGTGTTGTAACTGAATTTCTGCATGTTAGTCCCAGTTGCTGGTAGCTCTGTAATACCTGCCTGAGGTATATCTGAATTAATCTATTAAAATTATAGAACACACTTACAGAAATTCCTACATGCTGAACAAAATACGTAAAATTACTTTAGAGAATTTAAACAAAATCCATATTTCCTGACTTTACCTCCATACCAGTCTGTATTTTCAGAACAAAACCCTGCTGCTGGCTTTAGTTCTGTGCATGAGTGAGGCCCATCAAAATGCTGGGTTTGTTCATGCTTATCAAAACAGAAGTGGGCCTTTGCTGTTATTGAAAAGCTTCTAAACTGTGCTTTTGTGAAAAGTCTACCTTTGGTTAAGAAGGAACCAGTAGAAAGCAGGATGTGAGGGGGTTTTGCTGGACAGGTGGTACTTCAGTTCTGAGGAAAGATGGACATTGAGAGCTCATGTAGGTTTTTGTCAAGCTAATTAAAATTTTTTGAGACTGAAGCAGTAGGTTTGGAATGAAACCTTCCAGGTTTGCAGGGTTTTGTTCCTCTGGAAAAAGAAGAAAATAGTATTTTTGTAGGCTTTTACTAATATAGCAGAATTTGAAGTGTTGACCAGAGGAATTCAGAAACTGGGCCTGCTACCATGATGAAAATCTAAGTCATAGTTTGGAATAGGTTGCAGAGTAAAGGATTAAAAGCCAACAGGAGAGTTATTGATGTTTACAATGATTTCCAGTCAATTTCAAATCAATTCACAATGATTGCCTTGTAATGTTTCCTATAAGATAACAAAATAGACTGAGAGATCTGGCCAGGCTGAGTTGTTCAGTCTGAAGCAGTGGAGTTTGCCAGTCACTGTAGCAAATTACAACAAACCTGATTTGGTGGACTGATTATGAGTGGTATATTTCCAACATAAGAGGCATTTCCAACCTCCAGCACCACACAAGCCCATGTGCTGAATGGTTTAAAATCAGACATTTATAAGGTGATGTTTGTGGCCAAGTCCTCTGGGAATCTGTCCCTAGCTCTGTGCTGCCAGGTGGCCCTTGAAAGGAGTCCTTGCAGCAGCAGGAGGGATGTCAAGGCTGGTTCTGCTGAATGAATTGGATTGTGTGATAATGTAAGTTTGTACAAAAGGAATACCAGAGAGCAGATTGCCTTAAGAACAAAATTAGAGCTAGCTGTGAGTTTTCTTTGGAAGCAGTAATGTAGGAGAAATGGCTTATGAATCCCAATAGCTGTGCAGAGAATGATTGCTAGAACAAATTTAGTTCTTCCCTGGAGGGTGGAGAAATGTGTTGGAGAGTTAGAAGTGGGAATCTGTTACAAGTTCTGATGCTGGAGTGCAATCCTGTGGGGCACAGGTCTCCCATGACCCTCTGTAACCACTCACACAGGCAATTTCTTCACCCATTTTGCCTCCTTTCCTAAACTATCTTTGGGAAAGCCTGGGAGAGCTCTTCATATGTGCCAATCAGCTGCTGCAATTGGGACTAATATGCCTCCAGCCCCATACCCTGAAGCATTAATTGTGCTTGGGATGTGTGGGAGGTGCAGTGGCTTGGAGAGGGAAGAGCCTGCCTTGCACAGGTGTCTCTGCAGCAGGACCATCACCTCTGATGCTCCCCTTCCTGGAAGAGTCACTGCTTTGTTGTATCTCTGATTGCAACTAAAAAGTGGCTTCCAGTTTAGTTTTAAAACATAACATAGGTTAAATTCAGGATAATGTTGCTGGTGATAGTGTGAGTTTGGGGATAACTCCATGGTGTTGTCTGTGACTGGTCATGAGTCACCCTTCACACCAGCAGCTCCAGCAGGGTGAAGTTCCTGACACAGGTGGGTGCAGGAGGCACTTAGCAAGGCACCACTGGCTGTTCCTCCTCAGAAGGCTGTGATGGAAGAGGGTGACAGACCAAAGAAATTGTCTCAAGCAGATGAATTTCTTGAATTTCTTTTCTGATCTATGTTTCTATTTTCAATTGCAACATGAAGGAAGATACTGCTTCTTCCTGAGAAGCCTAGATAAGAGCCTTGCATATTTTTGATACTTGTTAAAAAGCACTGGCAGCCCTTTACTAAAAGGTAGTGTGGAAGTATGAGCTTACAGATTTATTATGAGAGGAAGAACATAACTGATATGTTTGATCTTTTATCATTGTAACACTAACTATATTCTCTTGCCATCATTTGTGTAAACATCAGGTTGTTCTGACTATTTTCCAACACAAAGTACAAGCACTAGCAAAGGGTGATCCAGTTCAGCCCTTTCTAAGGAGGAACTGTTTTCATATGAATGACAGCTGTTATTATGAGTAACAAGTAAATAAATCTTCAAAAGGTTGAACTTTCTAAGCAAAACAAAATAGCCCAATGGAGAGGGAGTGGGAGGAGAAGGCAAGGGGATGTAATGTTAATTTCTATCGACTTATGTTGGTTTTTCTGGTAGAAAGCCCAGCCTCAGCATGTAGGCCTTTGAGATATATTCTTACCTTTTCCCAAATGTGTTAAGCTGGCAGGATTTATCAGGTTTTTATGATTTGGGACATTTTCCTGTGTGTTCAACTTTTTCTTCTTTCATCAAAATTTGGTGAAATTTCCTCTTCTACAACGAGGGCTTGGGATGGGTGATCACAGTCGGGCCAAGGGGTCTGTTCAGTCCAAATGCCAGCAGAGGCCTGCTGCAAACAGGGTGGGATTAAGAGAGTTTTATAGGGGAAGAGAAGTTAAAAGATTTTTCAGCAGCTTTCCAGTCAAGTAGGTCATATTTAATTAGATGCTACAGTTTTTATAGCATGAAATCACAAGAAAGTGCCCTTTGGTACCCAGTTCTGGTGTATCACACTTTGAAGTAGAGCTGGTGTAGTAGCAGAACTGGCTGTTCAGATGGTGATTCCTTTTTTTAGCTCTTGTTGGGGAAGGAAGTATGAAAATGATTACTTGCTGAGATCCTTTGACTAAACTATTGCTATGTGCATTACTTGGAATGAGTTTAGAAGTTGCAGTCACTTTTCTAGTGAGGAAACATCAGACTGAAAATTTCCTTAATTCACTCAATTTTGTAGAGTGTTATTGTAACATGGAAGATAACATATTGGTGAATCCAAGTCAGGAACAATTTCTTAATAGGACAGCAACATTTCTTTCTCAAATAAAAGTTACACAGCTACTTGGTGAATGGTGAGTGTAGAACACTTTGTAGTGACAAATCAATTGTTCATTTAAATTACCCACAGGTTTATGAGGCAAGGAATGCAGATACTTGTTCTGGACTCCTTAAGGTTTGTAGCCAAGTGAATTCTCAAGATAGGAGGGAATCAGATGAGAGAGTTCCTTGCTGGTGACTTGCTGGTATTTATCAGATGTGGTTGTAGATGCTGTCCAAAGCTGAGAAACCTTCATTGACTCTGAGTTGTTGTTTAGTGGGTGTTCATGAATTAGGAAGTTTAATTGGAACATTTATTGTGGGGGAAAGTCCTAATGAAAGGGAGAGCTGGTAAAGCTCTCAGTGACTCTTTCCCTCATTTGAAGAAGCTGTGGCTCTGCAGAGGGAGCTCCTGTTGGGCAGAGCCTGGCTGGGCAGGGCTCCCCTGTGCCGCTGCGGGTGGGCACGTGAGCAGCTCCAGCCTGGTGGATCCTGGCTAAATTTAACCCTGGCTGCATTCCACGGGTGAGATCAAGGCTGGGCAATGACACAAGAGCAGAGCTTAGAGCAAGAGCCTGCATGTGGGTAAGAAGGGGCTTGAGGGAAGAGTGAGGACTTGTGTGGGAAAGGATTAAGGTGCAGGGCAGAACAGGTACGGGCAGGAGTGCGTGAGGGGCGGCTCTCTGGATTGGGAAGGATTGGATGTTGTCAGGAATGTGGAGGTGACAGCATGGACTCAGCTGGCATCTGGGGGAGCAGAACTGTCATTTGAGGGAGTTACAAGGTGACAGGGGAGTCTGGTTCTGACAGGACTTGGCCGTTGCTCTCATGGGAGTCCCGCAGGCATTGGTGACTCCACTGCTCCCAAACTCCTCAGTTCTGGCTGCCTGAAGTGTGTTGGTCCTTCACTGACAACCTCCTGAAACAGGAAAGGGGCATGAAAAACAAACTGCAGTCTTGCACTGTTCAAGGTATTTAGGAGAGCATTATGCCACTAATTTCACAGGGAAACTTTTTGCTGTATTGAGAAACAGGTTTTATAATAGTTCACCTGCTGATATAAAACCACAGATTTTGAGGTGATTGCACACAAAGCTACTCTATCAAAATACACAGGAAGTTATGAAACTAAGCCTTGATGACAGGTCTGCAAACTTTGCCTTGATATATTGTACTGTAAATATTTCCCCTTTTTGTGGATCTGGAAATGCTAGTCTTAGATAGAAATTTTTGGTTTGTTTTTTCTTGGTATGAACCAAACCAAAACTTGAAACAAGCTTTTACAGTTAAGAACTGTAAAGAATGGGGGAAAAAAAAGCATTGTGGATGAGACATGACTTAAAAATATAGAGGCAGTATAAAATTTATACATCTGAAAAACCTGATTCTTTTCTTACATGTATGGAGTAAGATACTTTGAATTCATTTTGCAATAGCATTCAGGGCCTGGAAAGTGTGTTTAATTTCAAAAATGTCTGTGATCCTTTCTATGCCTTCTCTGTACACTGATTTACTGATAAATAATTTCATTGTGTGGTAACATGGAGCACATGTGGAATCAGAAAGAATAGGTAAACAATTTTTTTTTGTTGTTGCTTCATTATTTTTGCAGGTAATATAGTACAGAACATTTCTCCTGCAGGTATTGTTTGAAATCATTTGTGTGGTGACTGATTTTTACTCTTTGACAGGAGAAAATTCAGATCCAGTTGTCTCAGTCTTTTGAAAAAGAAGAAAAACCTGCAAAAGATGAATCAGAAAAGGAAAAATCCAGTGATAAACTGTCCAGAAAAATGTTATCAAGAGGTTTGCTCTCTCTCCTTATGTTATTCAATATACTGTATAGATAAAGAACATAAGAAAATACAGTTCTGCTTCCAGGTCTTCATTGCATAAACATTGCATTATTTTTTTAAATTTTATTTGCAAATGAAGCAAATAGATCAGACACCTTTGAGCTAGAGGAGAAGGAAAGGGAGCTTTAGAGACTTCATCAAACACTCCAGCAAATGTTTCCTTTCTGTCCTGACTGTGCAGAGCAGCATAAAAAACCAGCTGTGTTGTCTCAGTTGTGTCCAAGTGTTCTTTAAGCTGACTTTATGAGTCAGTGGAAGCTCCTGTCTTGTGCCTGGGCTTGTGAAATTGAAGTGTCTATGTTCTCCTTTGTTTATTTTACTTCTGATAGTATCTGGAATTTTTTCAGTAAAGTTTTGGAGTAAGGGTAGAACTACATAAATAAAAAGGACAAGTATTATGTTTTCACTTAAATATTCCTGCCTTCTGGATTAAAGTTACAGTCTGTGTGCTGAAAATCTATGGGTGCTAATCTGAAAGAGAGCTGTGAAATCAATGACATAAACTATCAGTTCATGTCCATGCTGCCTGATGCCTCCTACAGGTACAAGACTTTATGCATTTAAGTTGGCAAATCATTTTACAGCTCTTCCTTTAAATATCCAGAATTTACCTAAATATCTTAGATCAGCCAGAGTATAGGAAGTACCTTTAGAGCTGGAATTCTTTTTGAGATAAGTGACACTTGTCCAACTCATGTCCTGCCATTCCAGAAGGTATTCCTCATGTGGAATTTCAGTGCTGCTTGTCCCAGCTGCCAGCCAGGTATTTGTGAAATAAAAAGCACTGGGATGGAGAACTTAACCTGCATTTATAAATCTCAGTGTTTGAAATGATGCCTTAAACACCACCCCCAAATACCCAACAGGTAATGATGGGGGGTTGAGAGTAAAGTGACAAAATGCCAGTGGTAGAGGTGGCTGTTCTGAATTCAACCACTCTCTCCTCTGAAGGTTAATTACTTCCCAATATAGGATATGCCAAAATAGAAAATTATGGAATTTTAGCATCAGTTCTAGTAATTATCACTAAATCATTGCTCACTTGCAAATTAGAAAAATTGAAGTAAATTATTACTGAATCTTAACATTTTTGTCAGGATGGCCTTTTTTGCCTTCTCTTCAGAATCAAAAGTAATTCCAAACCATAAATGCTCAGACTTGGTTGGTTTCACTGAAACTCTCTGTGCAGCTGGAAGAGCTGGGACATGGGCATAATAAATTTAAGTTGTGCCTAACTGAGTTGAGACTAGGTTAAGACAGAAGTAGTTCTTGGAAGACACCTAGTTCCAAAAATACTGTTCCAACACCTGTTGGTTTGGATCCTAGTACCTGCAACTCAAAGGTGCTCATGTGAGGGAAGATTTGGGGTTGAATAATTCCTTTCAGGGACAGATTTTAGGGGACAGTATGTAACTGAATACTTTGCCTCACTGAAACTGGAAAGGAGGGGAAAGGTTGAGACTACTTTTGGAAAAAGTAGTCATCTAATCATGATGTTGTGCAAACAAAGCCCAACAGAACAAGGATTTTTAGTAGTGCAAAACACCACTTTGTGAAGGTTAAACTTACATTCTGAATTACAACATTTCTTTGGGCAACATCCAGTGGCTGAGTAGATGGGCTGCTGCTGCTCCACAGATATGTGCACACACTGCAGTGTGGGATAGAGGGAAGATGTGGCTGGCTGGTGGAAATTGGGTCTCTCCAGGTGATTACCTGCTTCACAACATACAGCCAGGTGTTATTAATAGTGATGTTACTGAAACTCCTGCTTCTGCATTACTCTTGAATTAGGGGATAGTGGGTGGTGGTGGATTTTCTGTTTTGTTTTTGACTTGTGGGCCTTTCTCCTGGAAACTGCAAGCATTTAATTTTGGCAACAATGCACTTAATGGTTATATAGTATTGATCCATATATAGTATGTACAGCAATAATTGGAAAACAGCTTCTTCAGTGTAATTTTGCTCTCTTCCCCCTCGCCCTTAGATTCCAGCCAGGAGTATACAGATTCCACTGGTATAGATCTTCATGAATTTTTAGTAAATACATTAAAAAACAATCCCAGGTAAGAATCAATAATGGCAACTTTCTTTATGTTTTTCTTTCTTCTTGTTGCCTGAAGCATCACACTACCTGCTTTTGTTTGTTTGTTTGTGGTTTTATTTTTTCCCCCTCTTAAATGTCTAACTCTCCATGTCAGTTATTCAGGGTAAGATTCTGTTGCAGACTGTCTAAAACACCACTGTAATTGGTTTGCTTTTTGAGCAGAGGTTCAGGACACTGAAGTGGTTTAAATACTTTTAATGCTTAATATGCAAATGATGTGTTCAGTCTATGTGCAATTCTCTCCCTGAATGGACTTCAGTACATTGTCTCTAAACCTTGCACTGTCTTGGCACCTGCTTGTTAGACCAAACTGCCTTCTCTGACCCTAATCTGTCTTGCACTGAATTTATAGATAAAGGCATTTCTTAAAGCTGTACCATATAACTGTAGCTAGAGATTTTCATTCTGCACATGAGAAACCAAATCTGACCTAATCCAAGTCCATCATTTGTTAGCAGCAGTGCTGACCTGGTTCTGTTGCTCTGAGGTTTGCAGTCTGTCCCTGTCTTGTTTGTTCTTTGCCTCACTGGGGTTTTGTGCTGGCTTTGTGGCATAGTGCAAGGCAAGGAATTAACTTGGTGCAATTGTGCTCTGCCACAAAAGCTGCTTCACTGCTACTTGTTATTCACTCATATTATAGGTAGGACTTCCAATGTGGTAATTTATTTGCATTCCATTTTATTCAGAATAAATGTGACATGAACCATCATATGGCCAAAGCCATAGTCTTGTAGAGTAAATTCAGAAAGCACAGATCTCTGTGAGACTTAGTAGTTGGTTCCTGTTTGAAGCCATGAAGCATCCCAGTGGAAACAAGGAACTGTAAGTGCAGAGCTCCATGTGTTCCCATGCTCAGTGACTGGGAAACTTGGTTACTTGGTGTGCAGATTATGAACTGTGCATCACTGGATTTCATTGCATCTTAAAAGTTTATTCAAACCAGTGCAAGCAGTTTCAGGAAGAGTGTTCCTTCCTACCACCTTGAGTTTTAGCTTTTTTCTAATATGTCAGCACATTGCCACATGTGCCAGCTTTAAGCCCTTGGTTGTTGGTGAAGTGCCCCCACCACTTTCTCAGTGATCCCCTGATGTGCTTCACAATCCAAGGGCCAGCTGAGGCCTCTGCACACTCCCTGCCCACACCAAGCAGCAAGGAACACCTCAGCCCTGCTTTTCCTCCTGGAGCCTGTCCTCTCCATGACTGTGCTTCCTGCTGAGCCTCCTGGGCAGGGACTTCTTGGAGGATCTGTGTACTCTGATATCTGAGAGCAAAACAGCATGGTTCAATGCAAAATAGCAAAAAAAGAATACCTTGTCCTAAAAATTCTGCATTTGACACCTGCTGGTCCTATTTCCAGTCTGCCATCATCCCTTGATCACAGCCCTGATCTGTGTATTCTTAACATGAATACAACTGCAGTTATTGGAGTGTCTCATATGTGAGTTGCTGTGTTTTTATTTTCAGGGACAGAATGATGCTGCTGAAATTAGAACAGGAAATTTTAGATTTCATTGGTAATAATGAGTAAGTACTGTACTCTCATAGGAAAAAAGAATTCAAGAGTGTTCCTGTTTATTTAATAAAGCTACTATTCCTTTCTTCCAGAGTACCAAGAAAAAAGTTTCCCCCAATGACATCTTACCATAGAATGCTGTTGCACAGGGTAGCTGCTTACTTTGGATTAGAGCACAACGTGGACCAGAGTGGGAAGTCAGTCATAGTAAATAAAACTAGCAATACAAGAATGTAAGTGTCAAAGCCTTGAAAAACCCTTTTGATTCATAGCTCTAACACTGGGATATGTGAGGCAGTGATGCTGTAGCAGGTGAGGTCTGTCTCCTCTCTGGGAGCAGGCATCAAGGAGAGGTAGTTGAGAGCTCTTTCCTGTTCATGTTCTTGCTGTGTAATAATGCGATCTGTTAGAATTCTTTTGGGGAAAGAAGGATGTTATCTCTGGGTTAAGTTGTTGCTTTTTTGGCAGAGATGCATTGCTAATTTTGTTTCTGTGAAATGCGAATTTATAGCAACTGTTTATTTGTTTAAAGATTTACACCAGTAAAGTGTACAAAGTGCATTCTTTGTTTCTTTTGGATAGCAGAGCCAGCTCTTATCTCAGAACAGGGTCATTTCTGATTTGGTGAAGGGAGGGGACTTGCACAACTGTGGCTTTTGTATTGTAAAATTCTGCTGGGAAAATTCAGCTGTTGAAGTTCTTCTGTTGGAATAATGTTGCTTACAGATCTCTCATGGCCTTACAAATAAACATATCAGGAAAGACAGACATCAGTGAAAATGTCAACCAGGTTAACAAGCCATGGTGTGCTGCTTTACTGGGAGGGCTGGGGAGCTCTTGGAGAAAGCTCCAGGAAAATCCATATTGCAGAGAAGATAGCACCGGGGCCACAGCAGCTCTGAAACCTGTGTGGAATTGAGGTTTTCATTCAAGGGACCCAGCTGTTCTCTCCATTCTCTGCACTTGCTCTGTCTCCTCATTCTCTCTCAAAAAGACAAAGGTCTAATGTGTTGACATATTTATGCCACCTAGTTTCTAGTTTTAACTTAAAGCATTTACCTGACACCGTTTTTTGTTGGTCTTGAACATGAAAACAGGAGTTGACAGTGCCTGCATATCCTAATCTCAGTCTCTAGGTACACTCTATAGCTTTGGGAGAAAAAAATCTAATTATCCACCCTATTGTAGAGTCAGTAGGACTGAAATGATATGCCACACTGAAATTGCACTTAGGTAAACAGTGTGTCCTCAGAAATTTTAGAAATATATAGAGAGCCTAAATGTATGTTGAATACTTGTATTAATTATGTATGTGTTTTTGCTTTGGCTGTACAGTCTATATCTCAATTGACCTAGAAAGCCAAACATTTCAAATCTGTTGCTTTTGTATCTACCAGTATCTCTATACTGAAGCTTCAGTCTACCACTTCAACTGTGGAATAAGAACTAATAAAAGATTATTTCATTTATGCTTTTAAAAATTTTTTAGACCATATTTAAATAGCTTGTGGCCTCTGGAAGCCCCTGTAGGTGTAGTTACTAATTAGCAGGCATTTCATCTAACCTGTAGACATAAAGATTCTTGATGTTTTCAATATTCTTATTTTAAATCACTTTGGATACAAAATAAGAATTTAGAAAGAAAACCTTGGAGATCTGCTCCATGTGGAATAAAGCCAAACTTACCTTTTCCTCATAGGCAGGTTCGCGGCTCCCTCGCCGAGCAGGGATGTTACTGACATCAACCACCCAGTGCACACTGGCACGTCTCAGTGGAGTGGGATTGGTGATTGCAGGGCAGTAAATTCAGAGACCTTTAAAAGAAAGAGGTAAGACAGTCTAAAGGTTCTCTGAAATGCCTGCTAATTATGTTTGGACAGCCAGTACCCAATAGGCAGGGCTGGCTGTTTCGTAGAAAAAGCTCCCCTCACTCCCTCCAGAAGTCCTAGGTAATGATAAATCACAGAAATAGAGAAGAGCATACATTTATTCTGTCCTCCATTAGACAAATATTTCCTGATTGTCTGAGCTCTTCTGTTACAATAGCAGTCATTTTACTATTCAGGTACTTGGTATCTCTCTTTAATAACAAGGATTTGCAAAATACCACTTTTCTTTCACAAAGCAGATAAAATACCAAAGCATTATTTATAATCTGTTGCTTCACTCTCTCCCTATGACTGTGTGAAGCTCTTGCTTGCCTGCATTATACTGTTCTTCTCTTACTCATTTCTGCTTAATTTTGTTTTAGAAGTTTCTAAGTTTCAGTGCTTTCTCCTCTACCTTCTTTCTTCTGTTTTCCCTTGAAATGACCTCTGAGGTATTGCGGCTCTAGCGGCAAACACCTGTCTTCACTTCCATGCATGCCCAATATCCATTGCATGGCACCAGTTGGGATTCAAAAGCACTTCTGATTCCCCAAGGGCATGTGGTTTACTTCCCACCTTAACTGGGAGTTGCAGCAAAAGCTTTGAAAGGAGGAAGAGGTTTTTAAAAGCAGGTTTGTTATGCCTCAGGACAGGACCTGTCAGGGGTGCACCGTATATTTTCCATTGCCCAGACAGCCAAAGTCTATTTATTTCAGTTAGAATATGAAGTATATTTTAAATTACACCTGAATATATTTCAGTTTCTTCCACTGTGTGTACAATATGTTTACAAAACCATAAATATTTTGTTTGTAACAACTTTTCTCAGACCTGACCAAAAGTTTTGTGAGCATATAAAGGATGAGAAGAGCGATGACTTCCAGAAGCGGTACATCCTTAAGAGAGATAACTCTAGTTTAGACAAAGATGACAACCAGGTAAAGCACACATGGCTTATTCCTTCCACTTGCTGTGTTTGACTGTGCATTCTTACTGTTTTGCTTTGCAAAATAACACTGTACCACTTAATTTAGATGAGAATACGATTAAAAGATGACAGAAGAAGTAAATCTATAGAAGAACGTGAAGAAGAATATCAGAGAGCTAGAGAAAGGATATTTGCACAAGATGTACGTATCTAAACCAGTCTGGCACTGTTTTCTATGAACCCTTCACACACATACATGCACAGGTGGCTTTCCAGGAAACTGGTTCTGAATGACACTGAGCAGATAAGAGAGTGAGACCTGAGTGAGTTTTAAATGATATTGCAGTTTCTGAGAAATCTGTTTTGTCTAATCACTGCTGTATGAAACTCAAACAACCCAAGAATTATTGAGGAGTGTTCTCTAGTGTTACCTAGTGCTATGCATTTCCCTCCTTTTCATTGTTTTGTCCCTCACTGCAATTTAAGTCATAGATTTTTGGTACTGCAATCATATCAGTTGCTCAGAGCAATAATTAAAAGAAAAAAAACCCCAAGCAAATTAAAAACAAAAAAACTCTTTTCTCACTTGTATCTATAGCAGCCACATTATGAGTGGTCACAGTAAAATAATTTGAGGTCCCATATGTGAAATTCTTGTCAGGAATCTGATCTCCTGACTGGAGATACCCTACAGGACAACATTACAGGCTACAATTCAATTGCAAATAATAATTATATTGAGTGAAACAGAACAAATATGTCTTTAAATATACGTGTTACTTTTAATAATCCACTTCTGACATTTATCTATAACTCTTGCACATCCAAAACCAGATTCCAAAGAGAGTAATGAGCTCTTGAGAGGCTAATTTATATTTTTTTGTTCACCTTAGTTGCAAACAAGAATAATGGACTTTTGGATATAAAATTACATTTTCCTTTTGCATTTTAATTTACTATGTATTAAACCCTTAGAAGCTTTGTGCCAGATGTTGGGAGTCACAGTCAAGGACAACATCATTTGAGTCAGGAGCAGCCTTTTTGGTTGTGTTCTATGTGCTCTGTAGCTCACCCAGACTGGTACCCAGGGCACTGAGCAGTTACTGCAGCAGCAGTGGCCTCTCTCCCTCCACCCTTCCCAGCAGAAGATGAGGCAGCTCAGGTGCTGGGACAGCCCTGGGAATCACACACCAGCTGCAAGTGACAGAAGGCACCAAAGGCCCAAGGGAAGAACTGTAACTTCAGAAAAAGTCTGATAGAAACCAACTCAGCATTGTAACTATCCTCATGCTGACTTTGATCTCCTGCACGTGGGCCTTTTTATGTTGTCTTGTTTCCTCATGGAAACTGTTCACCAACAGGTAAAGTTTTTCAGGCAGCTTAATACAAAGAGGGTGCTGTAGAAGTCTGTGTACGATGCAGAAAACGCCAGATTGCTGTGTGTGCTGTAGTAGGGGTTCTAAATGCCATTCATATTAATTTCTGCACTTCTTTGCCCCTCAGTCCCTGTGTTCCCAAGAGAATTATTTCACTGATAAAAGGTAAGAAAATTTGCTGTTTAATTCTGTTTTGTCTTCCTATTTTCTTAATAAATATTAAGCTATCTTATTAAAATGTCAACAGAATCCAGGAGGAAGAAACTAATAGTACACAACAAAGACGACAGATACTTAGGTATTTGATGCTTTTTTTTAAAAAAACAAAACCCAAAGTATTCTGCATGCATTTACCTTTTCCTTCTTGTTTTTCGGGATTTTTTTTTTTTGGTTGTTTGTTTTTCCCCTTCTTTTGCAAGCACTGCTCGTGCTAACAGTTGAGTTTGTAACTTGCAGAATCAATAAGGAGGCATCGGGGAGATCGGCCAACAGCCACCAGAGCAGCACGGAGACAGAGCCGCGGCCCTGGAGCAGCACGGACTCGGACAGCTCCCTGCGCAACCTGAAACCCGCCGTCACCAAGGCCAGCAGCTTCAGCGGCATCTCCGTGCTCAGCCGCGGGGACAGCTCTGGCAGCAGCAAGAGCACGGGCAGGCTGTCCAAAGCAGGTACAGCAGGCTCTGGGGCTGAGCAGGGTGGGCTGTCCAAAGGCAGGTACAGCAGGCTCTGGGGCTGAGCAGGGTGGGCTGTCCAACGCAGGTACAGCAGCCTCGGGGCATGAGCAGGGTGGGCTGTCCAAAGCAGGTACAGCAGCCTCGGGGCGGGCTCTGGGGCTGAGCCAGGTGGGCATGCATGCCTGGTGTTCCCAGTGGGCAGGCTCCCTGCATTCATTCCCTCGGGATACACCTACAGACCCAGCCATAGAGCCATTATGTGACAAATGCAGCGAACGCTTCCGGCTTTGGAAGGAGAATTTCCAAGTGTGCCAATGCCTTTCATCTCATGCAAAGGGTTTGGAAACATTTTTTACCAGAAATATTTTAGTATAAAATATTTGAGGTTCAGGTCTCAATTTCCAGTGGGGCAAAACTGTGACCATGTTTGCAGGGGTCTTAGGATGAGGGAAGAGATGAGGATGTGGCTCCATGTTTCAGAAGGCTTGATTTATTATTTTATTATATATATTATATTAAAACTATACTAAAAGAATAGAAGAAAGGATTTAATCAGAAGGCTGGCTAAGAATAGAAAAAGAAGGAATGATAACAAAGGCTTGTGTCTCAGACTCTCTGCCCGAGCCAGCTGACCGTGATTGGCCATTAATTAGAAACAGCCACATGAGACCAATCACAGATGCACCTGTTGCATTCCACAGCAGCAGATAACCATTGTTTACATTTTGTTCCTGAGGCCTCTCAGCTTTTCAGGAGAAAAAATCCTAAGGAAAGGATTTTTCAGAAAATATCATGGCTACACAAAACTGCATTGCAACATCTTAGGAAATTCTGTACTGCTATCAAATCAGATAAAACAGCATTAAAGCCTATGAATTGGTAGTTATTTTTATTGTGTTCTTTCTTTTGTTAAATCAAAATGAATATGGTTCAAATGCTTACTTAATTTTTAGATTGCTGAGAAATGAGGTCAGTGGAATGAAGTTTACTGTTTAATTTTCAAATTCAAAAATACTTACAAGAGTCAGGGTTTCAGAGGGGGTTAATATGTAATTAATGTGAAAACAAAATCTCAGAAAATATGGGAATGAATCTTCTGTGGGTCAAAAATGAAATTTAGTAAATATTTGTATTTCAAATGCCAACATAATTTGTTGCAGTTGCTAATCTCTGGGGAATTTTCAGGCTTGTAATACATGGGTGTGTTATTGGTGGCTGCTTCAGAATTTGGAACAGAACTATAAAAAAGCAGAATATAATTGCTTACCTTATTAGTATTGGCTTTGATCTTATTTATAAAACTGGTTTTTAAAGAGGATCTATTTAAATTTTTTGCTTTTTCTTAAACCACTACTGCCTTTTAGGCATATGGCCACACTGCTATATATTAATGTAGTAAAACAGTAACAAATTCTGTTTGTCCATTGTATACTTGTATAAAAAAATGACCCAAACCAGTTCAAGGTATTTCTGCTGTAAAATTGTGCCATCATATGGAGTTATTCCATTTAGCAGTGTAGTGATGTTATTTGGCACAGCTTGAAAAGAAACTGCAGCTGACAATAAAATACATTCTTAGAAATCTTTGTTGGCTAAATTTCAAGAACATAAATGGATTCTTAAAATTTTTGCTGGAGTCTTTATTTTGGCATTCTGAGAATTTGGACATTCCAGGCTGGGAATGCCCACCTTGATGCTTGTTGCTTCATGTAGTTCCAGGTTTGTTCATGTTGTTCGGGGATGGAATTGGCTCTGGTTACAATGGCTTCAGCCTCACTTCTCTGCATAATCTAGAAGTGAACACACTTGGAAATGAATCCAAGTAACTCTGCTCAGGCAATGATGGTTTTACAGAGCTGGGATGTGCTGTCTCACCCAGTTTATAATTAATAGCTTTGATTTCACTTAATTCAGCAATAAAAAAGGCCAATGCTTCAAGCTATGGTCTCTTTGTAAACACAAGTTGAAGGATTACAATTAGCAACTTTTATAAGGGATTGCAGAGTAACTTCAAGCAGTACATAAATTCCATCTGAGAGCTTTTTGAGTCTTTCTTTTTCTTCTAGATTGTATAGAGGCTGCTAATGGGGAGTTTGTAAATTTAAACAACTGTATTCTGTTTCCAAGTACTGCAAGTATCACACACTTCTTACAAGGTCTTTGCTAAATGGTGTACCTAAAGCTCCAGGTGTCAGGTGATCTGGGAACAGCAGTTCCACAGACCTCTCCATACTGGACTTTTGGAATATTTCTTTTAGCTGCATGTCTTGGCTTTTAGGAAGCTCAGGGTCTGGTTCTCCACTGCCTTGCAATGTTTATAGTAATTCATATCTGTGAATGATATTTCAAACTGATATTTCAATTGGCTGTTTTATTCTCCTTTGAAATTTGAATTGTTGCATAAAGCCAGGCTAAAGCTACAATCTTAGCCTCATTTCATTTTTTCTAGCTATATTCTTGATTTCAGCCTGCAAATTGTCAGAGGAGGAAACAAACAGTGTTGAGGGTTTTAGTATAGTGCAAATTGTCCAGCAGGTGAGTCAGAGAACATCTGACCCCCAGCAGTGGAAATAAACTGGTCCTTGCTTGTGTGCAGGGCATGAGGCTTTAGCCAGCAAATCCACAGGGTCAGCGGGGCCCTGCAGCTGCATTCCCTGCACAGCTGCAGGAGCTGGGGCTGGGAGTCACTGCCTCAGTGCATCCCCTCCACTATCTTGCACTAATGACCAACCACTTCCATGAATTCTGGAGGTACAAATGTGCATTTTCTGGCCAGAAAACCAAGCTAGATATGAAAGCCTTTGCAGTGCAAAGCAGTGCTGAATTGACCCTTGGTTCACAGAAGGGACCTTGTATTGGTATTCCAGGGGAGATGGAGGGGGAATCCATTGACCAGGCTGCTGTGAATAATGTGCTTAATGCTGAGCTTTCAGGGTGAGCACTTACAAGTGTATATTTAAAGTGAGCTTGATGTTACTGTCTCTAGGTAAAACCAATTTCTCATTACTCCTCTCCTAGGTTCAGAGTCTTCTAGTAGTGTAGGGTCCTCCACGGGTTCTCTCTCTCACAGCCAGCAGCCTCTCCCAGTGGCAGCTCTAAGCCAGCCCTCCCCTGGCACTGCCGTGTACCCACCTGGCAGCTCTAGTAACTCTCTGTCCTTTGATGGTGGCATGAGCGGGCAAGTGGCACCTGCTGCCGGCAGTAGCTTCTTTCTGCTTCCCTTGGAAGCAGCAGGCATCCCGCCTGGCAGTGTGCTGGTCAACCCTCAGACAGGTTGGTACATGCTTGGGGGAGTCTCTGTTACACTGGGGAACGTGGAAAAATGCACGAGTGCTTGCAAAAGGCTTCATGTCAGTATTGTCCTTTGTCCTTTATTTTTCTCTTTGTTTTTTTAATGTGGTTGTGTTCATTCAATGCACTTTATTTAACAAGGAAGCATGACTGGAGGATCAAAGGAATGAGTAAACTCACATGATTTTCTCTAGAAGAGTTTTAACTTACGTATATGAGTGACTTGCACGAAATAGGAAAATTGTATGATTTACTATCCAGAACACAGAATAACTTAATTGTTTCAGCTTTTTTCAGGAGAGGAAAACGTCCTTTCCAGTGTTTCTATAACACAGTTTCAGTGAGGGGAGACAGCCTGAGAAAGGATTTATATTGACTTGAAAGAACTTATCATCCTTCTTTTTTTTTTTTGATGCAATGTACTCACCTCTCTATGCTCAAGACTGAGTTAACACAAATGAAAGAAAGTAGCACAGGATGAAATACTATTTCTAAACTTGTCCTTGTCACTTGAAAACAGGATTAAATCAGTGTTGGTGTAATTGGCCAATACTGCTTTTTTAGGAAGTAGTAGGAAATTCTTACTTCATAATGTAGATGCAAGGAGATTTGTAATAACTTGTCTAGATTAAATAATGAGTTAGCACTCTCAGGGCAAACTTTTAAAAATTTAAAAATTAGGAAATACTGAAAATTTTAATTTACCTTTAATGTAAAAGATCATAATTTTAGGAAATTTTATCTTGTAATTTTGGTACAATTATTTGTTTTCATTGTAGAAAATAAAATACTTCAGGATATACTTACCATCATTCTGTAGATGGACTTGATTATGCTTGAATATAATTGCACATGGTGTTTGAAGCAAAATGTTTCTCATTGGGGTTGTTAAATGTAGTAAATAATTTCTTTCACTAGAAGGTATAACGTTGAAATAGATAAAGTCCTCTTTTTCCTTAATATGAGTCAATTGCTAAAAATTTGGTTACAAATGAGTTGCTGTAATTTTCATAGATAGCCATTGGATTTGGAGGAGAATGTATTTGTCATCTTGGAGTTAAGTTCATTAGTAGTCTTTGATAATTATGTTAATGTCTAATGAGCTTCTAGCAGAAGACAAAGAACACTTGGAGAACAAGGAACGTTTAGGGGCAGATAAATTTTGATTTCCAATGTACTCAAATCATCATATACTGTAATTGTTTCTCTGGCTTTACTGTTCCAATGCCAGCCAAAGCAGAGACTGACTGGTTCCTCAGGGTTTCTGACAGAGGAATCTGTGCCTTGGTAATTAGGAAAAGACAGCTCTTAGCCAGCCACTACAAGAAATAAGTGAAGCTCTGGTGGTTAGCAGGAAATAGTAGAAGGAAATAAGAAAATTGGAGTCCTTATTGATGTGGACATTCTCAGTTCTTGAGTGTTGAAGAGAAATCTCCTAAGCTCAGTTGAGCATCACCTGATGAGCTGCAGTCCAGCTGCTGTAGCTTATTTTAGCAAGTCTGTTCATGCTCCCTCTGCCATGAATTCCTCAGTCCTTTCTTCAGTTACTGTTCTGCTCTTTATGTTGGGCAGTTGCATTTAATATGATGGCACCAAGAAGTCTGGAGGAGCAATAGTCTGCTTTGACAGGGTGCAGAGACTTTAGGCTCTAGAAAGAATAAGAACAATAAATCAGAGGAGGGAAAAATTTACATCAGTGTTGTGCCCTTTAAGCATCAGAATAAGGCAATGCAGGACACGTGTCACTAAGCAGGTAGGCACAGGTCCTTGCCAGCCAGGCTGTTGTTCCTTAGATTTGGTTTGGTTTTTTCCAGCCCAGGCACAGAAAGAAGTCACTGGGCTTTTTTCTAATTTATGCAGTTTATTTTTCAATTATTTTTTATTGGCCTATTGCTGTAATATTGAGGTTGCAAGTTATTAAATAGGAGAATAATTCTGTGTTATTTATTTTGAAAGCTAAAAGCCAATTAATCTAAGAATAGGGGAGGAGAATCCTTTATCAGTAATCTCATTAGCAGTCATGGGAATACCAGGGCAGCTATTGCCTTATATAGTTTTCAAAAAATATTTGCCTTTAAGCTCTCCTGTGTTCTGACTGGTTTTCAAATTTATTAAAGGAGGAAAATTTTTAAGATATCCTTAAAACAGTATTTTAGTAGAGTTTTCCTTTATTGCTCCTGTCATATTCAATCTACTTGGTTAAAAATCAAGTTTCAAGATGAGTAGCTTATAAGAAATTTTTATGTGTGTTCACTACGTAAAGACTGGGGTATCTTTGTTTAGCTTCAATGTTTTGGGTTTTAGCTGCATGTAGTCATTGCTGTTATGGTTGTGGGCATTTGGCATGAACCTGTCATATGAACCAGTTTGACTTCCCTTATTTTTCAGTGTTGTTATTGCATTGATGTTGCCTGCTGTGAGTGGTTTGTCTGTGCTCTCCCAGCTGAGGTGGTGCAGCTGCTGTGTTTGCTGTGTTTCCCGGGCAGGTCAGCCGTTCCTCAATCCCGATGGCACGCCGGTGGTGTACAACCCTCCCCTGCCTCAGCAGCCTGGTAGGAGCCAAGTGCCTGGAGCTGCTCCTCAGCCAGCCCTGCCCAGCCCCAGCCAGCACCAGCCCGGAGCCAACGCCGTCCTCTCACAGGTGCACTTGTCAAACACGTGCTCAGGGACCCCGGGGCTCCCACTCAGTGCTGGGAACAGGGTGGGGGGTGTTTGTTCCTCTGCACTGCATGGGGAGAACGGTCACACACACAAGAGGAACTGGGCCTTTTCCCTCCCAATCCTCAGAAATGTCAGCTCTGATCATGCCTGAGCATGGTAGGCAGCCTCTTCTTCAAAATACTGATATGAAAATATTCTGTAACCAAGGACAAGAGATTCTGCCTTCATCCCTAATTGCACTGTGGAGCTACCCAGGCATTAAAAGCAATATAGTTGGCAGCTGGGAAGAGTTAATCCAACTGGAACCTTGGGCTTCTTGTCCCAGGGTTGTTTCTCAGCCAGATAAATTCCTGGCCTGTACAGCACAAGCAGGAGTCATGGCACAGTAGGAGTAGCTCAGGACTGGTACAGCATGAACTTCTCCTGAGTAACACTTCAGCATATTCTGCTCACAAAACCACACACACGAGTACAAAATGTATTTTATCCTTGCCTTGTGCAAGAGTTTAGTAAAATAGGCCAGATTAAAGACTGCCCCAGCCCTAGAAGGAGAAGAAAAGCAAAATGCTTGGGCAGGAGAAGGGAGGGTTCTCCCTCTCCACAGCAGCTATTTCAGGCACCAAGGTACTGGCTGTAGTCTCCTGTGGTATTTTCAGATGGTTCTTAAATTTATTGAAAATTTATTTATAGAACTTCATCTAAACCTTTTACCTTTGTTTGTTTTCCCTGTTTAAACCTATTCAGATAGCTGGGTATGCCACAGTAGAGCTGGTCTGTTTTGAAAAAGATCTCATTTGTACCCTTTCTAGTCCACAGAAGTGTGTATGTAATATTGGCTATTTTCTTCACAAATTCTTTACTAATTCTCTGATTACCATCTCAATGGATGCTGGAATTAAACCTACCTGAAATATTATGAGCAATGATAAATATCTAGAGAAAATACTTTAGTGCTGTTGAATAATTGAAAGTAGTATGTTTAAACCCATGGTTAGTAGTAAATTCATTCTGCCTTTAGGTGCTTTGAAAGAACTCGTGTTTAAAATGTGTGTGGAGTTTTTAGTCTCTCTGAAGGAAACAGTAAATGTTAAATAGAAGCAATTTGCTGAGATAGCTAATATAGTGTATATTTGCAAATAAAGCAATGGATGTCTTATGGGAGACTAAGATATTCAGAGTTATTTCTGTTTTCATTCTATGCAGTCTTAGGCTTAAGAAAATAGAGGTATCCATTCTGTTTCTGAGAGTGGAGCGAGTTGCTCTTCTGGAGCACAGTTGCTTTTCTCTGTTACAAAAGACTTGTTTTCACTTCTGTCACTCTGTTGTTAACCTTGTTCATAACCCTGTTATTTCTGCAGCCTCTGCGGGCTCTGCAGCCTTCCTCCCAGCCTGTCCAGTACTCTGCAGTGTCGTACCCACCCCCGCTGCTGCCAGCCTCCTCTGCACAGCAATACTCTGTGGTATTACACCTTCTTTCTCTGCTCCTTGCACAGGCTCCTCTGGTGGCTGCTGCCCTTTGCTTGGCTGCTGCAGTGCTGTGTGGTACAGGGCAGTGACTGGCTCTCAGTGACACAGCACCTGAGTGCCCGAGATGGGAACGTTTCACATTCAGCAGGAATACCTGCAATTTATGCTATTTAGATATATCTCTATATTTTGAGATACATTATTTCCCTTTCCCTTTGTAAAGAAAGCTTTTCAGTGCTGTTTCATTAGCCAGTCAGTACCTTTTTATGTCTCTGGATTAACCTCTTTCCATTGCTTCCTATTGTTTCCTTGTCTGCTCACTCTTCTGCTAAACCTTAATACATTCTGAGGGATCAGTTGCTCTGATTTTTTCTGGTTACCTTTTTGTAGCTTCTCTGGTAGAATTTTCAACAGTCCCACTTCTCTAGTATCTATTGTTTAATAAGTAGAAGCTGGAAATGAAGTATCTTAGTCTATCAAAAAACAGGGAAAAAAAAAAGTCACAGGAAGTGAAACTGAAACTTAGTAAAGGAGAGTTGTTATGCAAGGGAGAATCTGAACCAGATTAGATTGAACTAGGGAGATGTGAACAGGTCAAAGTCTGCTCTGATACTCTGCTGAGTGCATGTTTGTGTTGGGTTTATGTGGCAAGCTTTTGGAGCAGGGAGCTGCAGGGACCCACGTTGGACAGAGCCCATTTCAGGCAGCTCCAGGGCTGACCCTGCACAGCCCAGGCTGAGGCAGTCATTCACACTGGTGGCACCTCTGAGTGTGCTTGGAAAACGGTGTGAGGGACAGCAGGGAGAAACAGCTCCACAGATACAGAGGCCAGAGGGAGGAAAGCAAGGAGGTGCTCCAGGTGCTGGAGCAGAGCCTGCAGCCTGGAGAGGAGACTCTTGTGAAGCAGATCCTCCCCTTGAAGCCCATGGAGGACCATGGTGGAGTAGATCACCCTGCAGCCCTTGGAGCATCCCATGGATGCTCTGAAGGAAGCTGGAGCCTTCAGGATCAGGTTTTCTGGTAGGTCCCACACTAGGGCACTCCACTCCTGAAGGACTTCAGCCTTTGGGAAGAACCCACATTGAAGAGGTTTGTGAAGGATGGTATCCTGTGGGTGGGACCCCGTGCTGGAGCAGAAGAGTAAGGAGGAAGAAGCAGTAGATACATGACTGGGAACCAGTCACAAGCCCCATTCTCCATCCCTTCTGATACTTGGAGGAGGAGGTAGAAGATTTGGGAGTGAAGTTGAGTCTGGGAAGAAGCAGTGAGGTTGAGGGAAGCTGGTTTTAGTTTTGTTTTTACTTCTCACTATCCTACTCTGCTATTAATTGCCATAAATAAATTAATCTTCCTGTGGTGGTCACTGATGAATGATTTTCCTGTTCTTTTCTTGACCCATAAGCCTTTCATCATATTTTCTCTCCCCATATTGCTAAGGATGAGAGGAAGGACTTGGGGGACACTTAGGAGGCAGCCAAGGTTAACTCATCACAGTGTTGTACAGCAGCTAATTTTCAACATTAATCAGAAATGTCTTATAATAAATACAGTTTAAGCTGAATTCAAAAGGGATGTTGCTTCTGAAGTTAAATGAGAGTCTGAATGGGTGCTAAAGCAGAAAAGGAAACTCCTTCCTGTTTGTAGTAATTTCAAAGCATTTCCCATTCAGGAAATGGGTTCCAATACTAAGTGCCCTGGCAATTTCAAAAATTTATTCCTGCTGATGGTAACTTATGTAACATAATGAAAAAGATTGATGGTCTTGGATTGTATTCCAAGTGTAACACCTCTGTAACTAGCACCAGGAGAGTGCTTTCTCCATTTATTGGGAATGCCATGTTCCAGGGCTGAATCCTGCTTGTACCATACCTGTCACTGCAGGACAAAGTGACCAGGTCAGACTTTACTTACACTGGTAATGTAACAGAAATCAGTGTGGTGTGGGTTGGGTTTATCTTCAGACATATTTAGAGCTAAGATAAACTCATATCTCCTCTTCCAATTCAGGATTTGGAAAAGCAGAATGTAGAATTCAATGTAGAAAAGCATTATAGTTGCATTTAATAGGCACCATTAAGGAATGAAATACCAACGTCAGATTACTACCTAATGAAAATAAGGCTTTTTAAGATGTATTAAATACATATGAAAGGTATACTAAATTAAATTTGAGATGCAAATTTATATTTCCGACAATAATTAATAATATCTTTAGCCTGGAAACTAAAAAACCAAAACATCATAAAATGTGAATGTAGCTAATCAGTAAAAGATGGAGCTCGCACTTATTTCTCTTGATTAATTCCTATCTTCTTAGGATGATCTAAGACCAGATGGTCTTGAAATAGTTTTAATGTACCTGCATGTTTGGAGAGTCCACTTTCAAAGTATGAACCAAATCTTCCTGTTTAGCAAAAAACAGGCAATGCTAGTTAGTGATCACTTCTAATTTTCAGGATGTTGCTAATTTGATGTTGAATTGCTTGCTAAGAAAAGGAGCTTGGGGTTACAGGAACAGAAGGTTCAGATTCCACAGGACCCCTGCAGTGCAGAGTGCAATCAGTGGCATCCTTTCAGATGTTAGTAAAACACAGATAGAGGATAGCCACTGGAACACATTTCTCTCTGTTGTTACTGGATTTCAGATGAAAAGATAATTGATCTCTGCATGTAGGATAATAACTAAGTTAGAGGAATGTACCTTTTAACTCAGGATTAAAGCCTCATTATGTTCAGCTCTTAAACACAAAATTTTACTTCAGCAATCCTAATGCATCCTGTATTTTAACTGGGGTTAGATGTTTTCACTCAAGTTTTGGAGTCCAGTCAGGAAATGTTAGTGACACAAATTCTGAACTTTCTTTTTGACATATGAATTCTCACAATAAGTAGATAAAGGCAGATGTAATCCAAAAGGCAGAATATTTGCAGTGAAAAGAGTGAAGTCCAAACACGGATGTTCTCTCCTGCTGTCAGTCTTGAGGATAATTTGCTACTGTTCCACCTTCTTTGCTGTTGTTCTTTGGCTGCTGTTGCTACTGCCCAGCAATGTGAGACGTGCTGTCCGAAACTTACTGAAATACCTGGCTATTTTATTTCTTTTCCCTCGAACGTGCATTTGCAAATATATTTTTCCCTGTTTTCCCCCCGGCTGCAGCAAGACAACCTGGGATCGCAGTTCAGCCACCTGAGCCTGGCGCGGCAGGCGCCGGCCGAGGGCGCGGATCCGGGCCCGGCGCTGTTCCAGCCCGGCGTGGTGCTGCAGCCCCCGCAGCAGCCGGGCTTCATCCTGGCCGCTCCCGCAGCACCGCCCGCCGCGCCCGCCCCGCCCTACCCGGGCCCCGCGCACGCCGTGGGCCAGCCCGTGCTCCCGCAGCAGGGATACGTGCAGCAGCCCGTGCCGCAGGTACGCACCCGAGGGCTGGGGGGAACTGAGCCTGCTGGGGAACTGCCGCTCTGCTCCTGTGCTGGGCTTGGGCTCCTTTCTGGGTATGGGCTTTGTGATGAATGACTTCAGTTTACTTTCCTCAAGTAAACTGTCGACAAGGAAAGTAGAGAAATTGGCTGCTAGAGAGGGAATTTATGTAGTATAAGGGATTTTTGAATCGCTGAATTATTTAACATCTGTTGCACCTTTTAATAAACTTTGCATCTTTGTTTTATGGATTTTGCATTTAGATGTCTGCTTCTCTAAAGCTGCCTGCAGGCAGTGACCCTCTGACTGTTCCTTGCAGATGCCACCCTGTTACTGTACCCCCAGCCAGTACCCGCACTCCAGCCAGCAGTACCGCCCTGTGTCTGTCCATTACAGCACCCAGCAGAGCCAGGCCCTGCCCCAGCCTGGCCAGCAGACAGGTTTGTTCAACTCTTTCAGCATTTCACTAGGGCACTTGGGTAGTTTCTCTCCTGCTTTTTCATTTTAAACTTACTTTGCTGTAAAATTTCAAATAAAGTACAGGATCAAATGTAAAATACAAAGTGTAGCTAACCTAAGGTGGAGAAATTTGTGCATGAACTTGGGATTCAAGCCATTCCTTTGAGTGGCTCATGCTGTAACTTTAATTATAGGGTTTTTTAAATATAAAAGTTAATAATTTCAAAAAATTGTGACTTAATAACTAATAACTTGATTAGCTTGCGAAGTAAGATAAATTAGTACCTTTAAATGATGTGACATTAAAGAGATGTCCCTTAACTGAAAGTTCTGAGCTAAAGATCCCAATCTTAGATGCTGTGGCATGAAAAGAGTGCTGTGCAGAAGATATTGGTGATACTATTTTACTCTTTGTCCTGTGATTGAAGGTATCAGGTATTGGATGGAATATATAATGTGGTTACCTATTTTAGTAAAGACTTTTCAACTGACTTACCCTTCTATGAATGTTAGCAAGTTTCATTTCATTTCCATCTCCTTCCTTTCCTCTTGTCTTTTTTTTTTCCTTACAGATTTTAACTGTAGGCTACCATTATTCTCACAATCTGTACTTCTAAATACTGTTGTGATTTCCTCAAAAAAGATTTGTATTCCTGAAACAAATTTACTTCTCAGTAATATCTTGACTTGTGGTCAAAACTTCCAGAAGTAACTAGTGATGTTTGGAGGCAGAGATCCCTAAAGACCAGATTTTTATACCAGTTCTCAGTTTAATCCATAACATCATTCTGAGTTTCCTTCAGGAGGGTCTTTTTAATTCCTTCCCCTGCCCCTCTATGTGTTGCTCTACAGAAACAGGATAGAATATCATCTTTTACAAATATTAACTGGATTTATTTGTATCCTATGAAGCAGCATGTAAGAGGGATAGCTCCTCTTCTGCACTTCTTCTAGGAAGTGCTCCAACAGTAGCAACACTTGATGGAGTTATTCAGGGTTCAGTTCACAAAGATTTTTTTCAAAGGAAAACAAATTGCTTGGTTTTGCAACTTGTGTTATCCATGGTGTTAGAGATGTGTTACCCAACTGTATTACACAACCTGCTTTCCTTCCTCAGATTTTTAATTACTTAATAGCAAAAAGTCTGAGGCTCAAGGGGGATTACTTCCCACTGTGGGGACACCCTGTGTGAGCAGCACACAAACTCCCCAAATCAGAGAGCTCATGTACATTTGTACCCAAACAAACCAGTCTGAATTGGAAAGCATGGGGTGATAAGGTGCAAAGGGATGAGCTGGTTGCTATTGGGTAAGTTCCTTTCTTGTATATTTTTAGCTCTTTATATTTTAACTGAATTTCACAGGCTGTGGGTGAAAAGTGTCAGCAGATAAACTCCTTCTCTGTCCTGGAAGAAATAAAATAAGCAAGCTGTGCAGACAGCTGCTCTACTGCTTTGATCATGTGCCCTGTACCTGCACTCTGACATCAGGAGATCCTGTTTAGGTACCATGGGGATGGTCCAGCCAATAATTCTGTTCAGTGTTGGGTTATTTGGTGTTTACCAGCACTAATGGGAGAAAGAAGGATCTTACCAGAAACTGCATAATTAGTGTTTAACTGAAAATCTCCAAACTGCTCTCCAGCTATTGCTGGTTCTCATTTAATGCTTCATAGGCAAATTTGAATCAGCATTTTGGAAACTGATGGTTCCATGTCTTGTTATGTGTTCTGGAAATACCTCATAAGATGGTGTATTTGAAAATTCTCTCCCTTGTAATTTATTTTAAACCATTGATATTTGTATTCATTTGACACAAAGCTACACCTGAAGTGGTTGGTGCTTATTGGCAATGTGTGGTTTTGAGCCAGAGGCAGCACTTGGCTCATACAGCAAAGTGGCTGGGCAAAAATGAGAGCTACAAATCTTGCATTACACAAAAGCCATGGGGGTTGTTCATCTCAGGAAGTGGTTACTAACTATGAAATAACTTTGCAAACACAAATTCAGATAAAAGATGGCAGCTTCTGAGAGCATGGCAACTGCAGCCACTTCTGGTCTAATGTTGAGGAGTGGCCTGACTTTATTGATGAGCTGTTGGATTCGGGGCCGTAACACTGTCTGAGAGGTTTACATTTCTCACAGTGAACCGGTCTCTTTTTCAGCTGCTTCCTGGCTTCCTTTTTAAAGGGGTTTCAGGTGAAATATTTTGGGGGGGTTTACTTTTAATAAAAATGCTTTCGTTGCCTAAAAGATGTTGGGAGAAGAAAACTCTCCTTGAGAAAAAAAGCATTTCCAATTGCCATGTTAATGTGAGCCCAGTTACCACGAGACCTAACTGCAGGTTGTTTAAAAATCCAGTCTGAACTACAGTTCCTGTAGGAATCAGCTGCAGTTCAACTGGCTTCTGCTTCACAAGCCAGGGATAAAACTACTCCACTTGTAACAGTAGCTGTAATAGTCAAACCCAAGCTCATCAACTCCCAGCTCATTAACTGAGTGCTTGTACTTGCTTTTCTGTTCTTCAATACACACTGTTTCTCACTCCTAATGCATTATTCTGAAAATGTATTTCCATATTCTGTGAGTTAACTTTTCTTATCTTAACTGTGATTTCTTTTGAATTATGTAAATATTAAGAAACCTGCTCCTATTTTTACCTCCAGTTTCAGAGTGTTTCTGTGTAATGGGGCAATGTACTGTGGCAGGTGTGGGGTCTGTGCTGAGTGCTGCATTTCTGTCAGCCCACTCTATGCAGAGGTGAAACTGCAGCTAAAAATAGAGCATTCTTTGGAACGCTCTGGGGAACCTTCGTGGCAGCCAATTTGTATTGTTCCAGTTCCCTCTGCTTGCAGAATTGATTGGATCTGTCTCTGCAAGTGCCAGAAAAGGCTGCAGAGCTACTCACAGTCCATTGCAATTTCTGGGACATGAGGGGCTCAGACTGCAGGTGCACTGTCACAGCACAACTTCCCATTCTGCTGCTTTTTAGGGGCCATAGACCACTTTATAACAAAGTATGTTAAAGCATTTTATATATTACAGATATGAAGGGCATTTTGTGCACAGTTCAAACTTAAGTTATTAAGAATTCTAAGTACTAATCCTACTTCAAGCATGTATTGTTCTGAAGTTTTGCCTAGTCCTCTGAAAATATTTATAGTGTTGTGTGTTTCTAATGAATAGCTGTCTTGGTTTTAACAAACTGAATCTTCTTCCCTTTAATTTTCTGAAGCAATATTTGATAATATTAACAGTCTTTGTTTGGTGTTCATTGTTGCAATTTCTATGGAGAGCCTGCTGAGGCTGTTAGTGCACAATGTTCATTCTACTGTATGGGCAAAATCAATGAACATCCGAGGGTGCTGCTCACAAAAAGGTGTTTTATGTTAACTGGATTACTTTCAGAATAGACTGAGCCTTTTTTTAGCACAGTTTAAAGAAAACCCAAGGGAGTTTTTGCAGCTAAATTTGCTCTATTATAGTTCCTTGCCAAGGTAGGGAGCATGGGGAATGTCAAGGTCAGTGGGCTGTGAATGTGTCCAACTCAAACCCAGACTCTTCTTGCCGTCAGTGCATCTTGACAAGCCCAGTTTTGTTATTCTGGAGGGATAACTGGCTTTGTCTCAGAAACACTGACTGTGTTGGGGTTTTGCTGATGTGGTAAGTAGTGCACACCTGGATGATGGAACATGAGAGAAAAAGAACTTGTGTTCTGCATGTGTTTGGGTCATGGGAGCAGTTACCTGCAAAATGCTTTTAAAAAAAAAAGAGGAAAGGGGAGGTTAGGTTGGACTTGAGAAATGCACAAATTTCCTGTTTGGCATTCATGCTTGGGGTGTTTTGGTTTGGGTTTTGGGGCAGGGTAGGGTGGGTTTTTTTGGGCAATTTTTGAAAGATAGCAGAGGATACCAGTTTAAACAATAATAAATTGTTTTAGAGACACAGCATAGAGGGATGAATAGGAAAATCTTTTGTTGTGTCCCTAAGATAACTTTGAATATAAAACATCTTCCACTATGTACCAACATGGCTTGAACTTGGAAGATTTTTCTCAGTCCCCATTTGCTTTTAGCATTACAGATTTCAGAAGAAATTGCCCCTTTGGAAAGGATTTGCACACAGGCCTTATGCAAATTTTTCTGAAGTCTGATTTAGTTTTGAATTGCAGTCAAGATGCTCTGACCCCTGGGGCACCTGAGGTCCAAGCTGAATTTTGCATATGTAGAATTTGCAAACTGAAGTACCTGGAATGGCCTTGTTGACAATACCAGACAATGAATTGGGTTTGATCCTGTCTAGCATGCTTTGTTCAAGTGCTTCCAGCTTTCACCTGTCCAATCAAGGTGTTAATGCATGTAAGCCAGAGTGTAAATGATAGTGCATGCATGTGGGAGCAGCATTGCAAACAGTATGGATAATATTTCATGCTGAATCCAAATGAGTAAATCTGTTAATTTTAATGTTGGCTTCTTTTTATATGCATGATAAGTTCAACTGTTGTGAAGCTGCCAGATTAAACAAGCCATTGGAAAATGCTACACGTGTATTTTTGAATAGGCAACTATGCTTAAAATGTGTTCATTATTTCAAAGTAAGATTTAAATGTGTAATTTCAGGTTACCAGATTTTGCCCAACCAGCAGCAAAACTACCAGGGTTTAGTTGGAGTTCAGCAGTCTCAGAATCAGAATCTAGTCAGTGGCCAACACAACAACATTGGGAATCAAATTCAAGGTGTGATTGTTCCATATCCCTCAGTGCCATCTTATCAGGTGGGTAATGTATTCATAACTTTCCAATGACTTCTGTGGCTTCGAGTGTTGGGGTTTTCTTTAAGTCTTTTGCTTTGTGATAGAAATCTGCAAGCAGGTGCCAAAGGTGACTGTGGGGACAGAAGCTAAAGATACAAACCCATAATGAAGTGAGAAGAAACAAGAACTTGTCACAAGTGCACAAGTTCTAGTGCTGCTGAAAGCCAAGTGCTGTGTCAGTTGCAGTTCAGAGGGTGGGGAAGAAAAGCCTGGAAGGTTTCCTTCCCACCACTCCAGTTTCTATTGTAGAGAAAACAGCTTGTTAATTCATGGAGTCCTTTGGAGGCAGCATTTCCATTGGGGAGGAAAAAGACTTAAAGTTGGTTTGTTTTTTTTTTTTAATATGGTGTTGTTATTTTAGCTACTGTTACCACTCTTATTCTGGTTTTAGAGAATTTCAGATCTTTCAGTTTCTGGGGTTATTTTGTAATTCTTATATCAACTGGATGATGGTCAGGAGGCAGAAGTATTGTCACAGGAGAAAAGCTCACTGTGTGGCCCATTGCAGGTTTCGGTGCCTCAAGGTTCCCAAGCAGTGCCCCAGCAGACATATCAGCAGCCTGTGATCATTCCCAGCCAGTCCAGCCAAGGCCTGCCCACCACAGGAATGCCAGTGTACTACAGTGTCATTCCATCAGGCCAGCAGAACAACCTAAGGTAAGCTTAACTGACACTTGATTTCTCAGCTGGGCTTAGTGCTTTGTAAGAACTGACAGGATCTGGTTTTAGTCCTATCAATATTAAAACTATTACTTTAAAAGCAGACTTACATTCTATTTATTTTCTGCTCCCATGCAATGAAGTGAAACAAGGAGTACTGCTTTACTCTGACATACTTGTTGGACTGGAAAACAGTCTCCTAGCACTTTCAGCAATACTTTACTGCAGTTCCACCTCTTACATTTCCTGCATTCCATTTCTTACCCATGAGACACCACTGTGCTCAGCAGTTCAGTCTTTCTGCAGTAATATTTAAGATGACTATCCATATTCACTGGTTTTGACAAAGATACTACATGAATAATGTGCAGAGGAAAAATAATTTGGATCCCAGAAAAAGACTGACTTTTTTTTTGGAACTTTGCATGGAAAAGGTTTAGCTTACTTTGTATTGTGGATGAGGCTTGCTGGCACCAAGCTGGGTGTGAAACAAGTGTGGAAACTTGGCTTTTATTTGATAAATAACCTCCTTTTCCTTTTCCTTTTCCTTTTCTTTCCTCTTTCCTTTCCTTTCCTCTTTCCTTTCCTTTCCTCTTTCTTTTTCCTTTTTCCTTTTTCCTTTTTCCTTTTTCCTTTTTCCTTTTTCCTTTTTCCTTTTTCCTTTTTCCTTTTTCCTTTTTCCTTTTTCCCTTTTCCCCTTTCCTCCTTTCCTTTTTCCCCTTTCCTTTTTCCTCTTTCCTTTTTTTCCTTTCCACCTGCCTTGGTAGCAGCAAATTGGTGTGCATGTACAGCCCTCCCTGAGTGTACATCTGTGTCTATTTGAGAACAGATAGGAAGTACCTAGGAGAATTCATTAGGATTCAGCTTCTTACACATTTTTCTTTCTCGAGTTTTTTTGAACTTACAAATGTGCAGCATTTAAAAATACCTGGGAGCTTTTAGACAAGCAGCAACAGTTTGAAGCTTGTTCATCCTTTTGAGAGTGCAGAGCTCAGTTGTATTTGTGCCATCGCCGCATGGTTTCGTCTGCTGAAATCTGGATTCCTGTTCTTTGTATCTGAAGGGTTTTTAATCCCTTTCTGTTTTATATTTGAGATTCAGTGAAGTCACAGGTAGGCATAATTGCAGACTTTTCTTGAATTAAGTTTGGTTGCTTGATCTTTTGTGTAATTTAGAATGTCCCTCTCATTTATTAGGAATTCAGAGTAAACTAGCAACCAATGACAGCATTTGCTTTCATCAGAATAGTTGTGCTGCAGCACTTGAACAAGGAGAGCAGAGTGCTGTTCTGCAGGAGCTGTGTCAAGCCTTCAGGTCACTGCTGAAAACTAGAATCAGTAGGCAGAGCAGAAGCTGTGTGAAAGCATCTGTGTTTTCACTTGGTTTTGTCTGCTTTAATGGAAGGGAATCTTTAAATTAAAATTATATAAGTGACCTGTGGGACAAAGGATGGAACAAACTTTCGACAACATGGGTAAAAATAGTATGTCCAAGAGGAGTAAACCTACTTTTTTCCCCACAATTTAAAGGAATTGCTTTATTCTCAGAATGGTTATCTATTGGTACAGGATTTTATAGGCACTGTTCTGACTATGGTCCACCAACCCAATGTTCTGTTTCAGTATTAGTGGTAACATAGAATCTAACTATATCTGTTACCTGGTTTTCCCCTGATTACCCTGAAAAGCTACCTGGCATAAATAAACTTTGCAAGTTATCCTTTTCCTACATTTTGCAAGCAGCTGAATGGTTGTTTATCCCCTGGAGTCCTGTTCCATCTCCTCTCTGGGCTGTGTCAGTGGGCCCTGGGGCAGAGCTGTCTTTGCTGTGCTGCCCCAGCTGCCCAGGGCCAGCCCCCAGCTGAGGGACTGCATCCCAAATCCTCATGGCAGGGGCTGTGGGGATCTCATAACTGAGACCTAATTCTGCTGCAGTGAGCAAGACAACAAATTGTCTTTTTGTTGTTATTATGCTGCATGTCTTTATGCTGATATAGAGCTGTGGACACAAAAATAGAACCTCAAAATAGGTGAATTAATGCAGTTTCTCAGTGTAGGCAGGGCACGTGTTTTTGCTAAGGAAGAGGTGGGAAGCTTCAGTCTTCTGAAGAATGAATGAATTGAGGGTAGGTGGGAATATTACTGATTTAAAATGAACAAAACTCAGTGATTTGCAGTACATGTACACAGCAAATGCAGGAGTCGTGATTAAATGAGTGCAGCATAAATGCCTGTTAGTCATGTTCTTTTTTTGTTATTACAGTTCATCTGTAGGATATTTGCAGCCTCCTGGATCAGAGCAGATACAGTTTCCTAGAACATCATCACCATGCAACTCACAGCAGCTTCAAGGACAGCAGTGTGCAGGTTGGGAGAACAAAGCTTTTATTGATAAGCTTAAAAAATGTCTGGCTATTATTATACTGGGTGATTGGATATTTGCTATTAAGGGTTTGATTTAGAATTAACTGATGTATTCTATTTCTTCTTTTGTTCCATTTTCAAATTTATTTTCCATTTTTAACCCTGAGGCTGATTCATTTGAAATCTCAAATTTTTAATCTTTGAAATACCTCAAGTTACTTTCTTAAAATCCAATACCATACGTCATAATACCTTGCACATCTATGGGAGAGTTAAGACAAACATGGGAACCACACATTGGCAGCAGAATCACTTCCATCCTTTTCTCAATAGCCAGATGGGTCTGAAAACCTTGGGATTTGGGTCTCTGTTTGACAGAAGGAGTGAGGTACATTTTGGAAGCAGCACACTTGGCTCTTCTACTCAAGAACCATTCTAGATTTCAGTTAACAGAGTAGGAGCAGTGATTTTCTTGAGGGGAGTTTGAAAACTGAGCATTGTGGGGCACCTTTTTGACCTGCTGGAAAGCTGAAAGAACTTCAAAGCTGTGTGGGGTGTGTTGTTTTTATGGCAGCCTTATTCACTGCTTTTACTTTCATAGTTTATAGCAACCATTCGAGTCAGAAGCCATCACCTCCTACATTATTGCCACCTTCATCCAAGTCAAAGCCACAGCAGGCTGCTTCCATTGTGCACTACAGCATAGTGTCTCCACCCTCATCATGTAAAAGTTCACCCACTGGTCTTTCCATCATGCAGCCAAAAAAAGGTATCTTTTACTGGGATTTTCATCTAAGCCATTCTGTCTAGAACATGCTGTAAATTTGCAGATTGGTTTCATGGCTAACTGCTAGAACAACTTGAGTGCCATCTCTGATTTTTTTTTTTTTTTTAATTCTTCATCTGTATTGCTATTATTGTACCTTTTAAAATGATGAATGGGATTTTAAGTGAAACAGTGGCTCATGGGGGCAGCCTGGAGCCACCCTCACTCAGCAGGTAAATGTTACTCAGCAGAAACATTGAAGTCAGGTTCAGAAGGTTTTGATGTACAAAATACTTGGGTCATTTTTAGAAGGTGTGTAAACAGAAGCCTCAATGTGTTTGAAAGCAGTGCTGACATTGATCTTATCAATACATGAAACCTTTATAAATGTTAATGTCCAGACACTTAAAACTCTGAAGGTCCAACCATAAAATTGATGATTGACTGGTCAGGAAAATAAGAGCACTAGGGTTAGCCAGCAAACAAGGGATTACAGAGCAATCCTGTGACCACAGTGGCACAGTCTTTATTTACTGTTAGGGAATTTGATACATTAGAGGCTTGCTTGGTAAAAAAGGGATAATCTCAAATTCTGCTGTCTCAGTATTTTGCAAGCAAGCACTAGATTAAACAACCCTAGATCAATGACCTACATTCTGCTACAGGTGTGGTGTTTTTACAAACATTTATCTTTAAAGTGTTTTTTGAACCTGTTTATTAGTAAATAGATAACATGCAGTTAAGTGGCAAGAGAGCTGGATCAGCAGTTCGTGGGCAGGTTTGGTTTGGGTTCCATTTTGCTTCAAGTTTGTTTGGCTTTAATTCTGGAAGGTTGTCATTTCAGAATGTCTAAAGGGAGCCTTGCACTGGTTTGTTTTTCTGCCCTCCTATCCTGGAGTGCTGGCTTTGTGCAGTTTGGATGGCCTGGTTCAGACTGTAAACTGGCAGTTCAGGAAGTTTCAGGAAGGAGGAAGCCCTCTATGGGAGAGCAAATTCTGGGGAATAAATCAAAACTTGTGCTTTCCAGCAAGTGAGGACATTGAGGTGCTGAATGAAGGGCCCTGAGGTGGGGCCAATGGGCAGGTGCACAGACAAGCAGCAGAGTTGCGTTACAGGGGACCAGGCTGTAAAGCTGGGGAGGCTTTGAAGGATTTCTGGGTTTCCCTTCTCATGGGTTTGACAGGTCATAAAGTGTCTGCAAACTGACTTATGCACTGTGTGACACTTCATTGTGTGAGGATGCTTGGTTAGGAAAAGAATTCCATTTATTTTCACTTCCTGAAATGCTGGGGAATTAGAACCAAAAGAAAAAACATTTTCTGAATACATCAAGTTTTCTTTTGCACTTTAAATTGCATTTTAGATTGACACTCTTTTAGAGATGGTGGTGTAGATGTTTCTGGAAGACAAACGTGTTTTTGTTGGGTGTTCCATTCTTACAGAACAGAGATAAGTCAGAAAGAGTTTGCTAGAGTGTTGCAGAGTGAAATACTGTATATAAACCAGTAAGCTGTAAATGATTATAATCTATAAAATATATAAATATATACATACAATATTAAAATGAAACCCACTTTTGTGTGCTGGAGGTAGTGTGTGTAGAGGTGTTTGGCATATCTCAGGTTTACATATAGGGACTAGGTAAGTTTATGGCTTTACCAGTGGAAAAGTGTTGTGTTGTATATTATTCTGATTATGTAGCAGTCATAAACAGAGTTTATTCTGTTGTGCAACAAAACAGAAATATTCACAATGTGGCTCTTGCAGGGACTCCTTAATTTGTGTCCTCTGCTAAAGCTGGCCAGATACCTGATGGTTCAATTGCAATCTGTAACACCTGGGTAAAACTTCTTGCTATTAAAAAGAAAATATAGATGTGAAAACATTGTTAATTCAGTTAGCCATGTAATAAATATTTCCAAATACAATTTACAAAAGCTAGTGTGGTTTTAATGTTATGCATTCTTTATTCTACCTAGTTTGGTTTGATTTTTGAAGAAGTCTCTTTTTGTGGAGCCCAGGGGTAGTGAAAACAATAGCCCATTACAAAAAACACCAGATGAATGCATTTTATCATCTGTACCTTGATGTGGCAGTAAATTTAGAAGACTGCAGAATCTTGCTTTCTGGATGATTAAATAATGTTTAAAGTGTTTTAATCTTGATTTCTGAGAAATGTTGTAAAGCAGAGAAGGAAATTGCAAACAACCATTTACAAATAGAAAGGGCATTTATATAAATTCCTTGGGGCAGAGGGGGGAGATGGTTTGTCTCTTGGGCAGCCTCTCCTCACAGCTCCTGGTGTGAAACTGCAGCAGTGCTGGATGTTGAGGTGGAGTTTCTGTGGCTGCCACAGGAGCCGGGTGGGACAGGGTGTGGGGATCAGTTTGCAGCATCTGCCCAGGAAAGCATTCCAGGGAGAACCTGTGAGGGTGAGCCTGCCTGGACCAGAGGTTGATCCCAGGTCTTTCTGATATATGCCATTGTATCAGAAAAAACATTTTGAGTCTGCATTGCTGGACATCATGTAAAACTATTTTCACTTCTTAATATCACATTCTGCAACACAGTGCTCTGACAGAAACTGCAGTGAATGTTGAATGCTGTCAGCTACTACTAAATAGAGTGATTTCTTTCAAAAATATTCTCAGCAATGCTTTCAGTGGCTCCACTATCTCATTTTCTGGGAAGCCCTCTCTAAGTTAGCTATTGCAGTGTAGGTGAAAGTGGCAGTGTAATTGTACAGACGGTACCGCTCCAGTTTCTCGAACGAGCAGCTCCTTTGGGCAGCCGCGTTCCGTGTGTCCCTGCCCCTGTCCGGAGCGGGCAGCGCTGACGGGGCCGTGTTTCCCTCCCTCCCTCTCTCGCTGTGTTGCAGCCGGGGGGGTGCTGATGATGCAGCTCAGCGTGCCCGGCAGCGCCGCCCCGCGGAACCCGTCCCCGCCGCAGAGGAGAGCGGGCAAGTTCCACTGTGAGCCCCCCCGCGGGCACAAGGGCACGGACATCAGCACTTTAGACGGGGCTGCGCAGGTACGGGCTGATGCCTGACTGAAATGGGCATCAGTTCTGGCTTTTTCAGAAGTTCTTTCTGGGGAATGTGAAAAATACCTATTTTATGATTGGCTTTTTGCAAATATTAAAATTATTATCATATGTGTTGTGGTCGAAAGTAATGCTGTATTAATTCTCTTAAGTACTGTGTTGAATATAGTTTTGGGTTATAAAAAAATGCTAAAAAAATATCCTACATAGCACAGTTTCTATTTTAAAGAAAGGATTTGCAGTGAGATAGCAGCCACAGGACACGCAAATCTTTCAGAGAAAAAGAATTTCTTGCCCTCTTATCAGAAGAAATTAACTTCTTCCTGCCTTGAAGGCACTGTTCGTATTCAGAGGAAGAAGCTGACACTGATTAGACAGAATCCTGTGTTTGAATGGAATTTATGCATCATGTATGAAGTGTAGGAATATGCAACGGGCTATTGTTCTTAAGGGTTAATCCTTGGTTAACAGGTGTCCTTTTTCAGGCTTGTGCTGCCCAGAAAAAGGTACCCAGACATCCATAACTCTTTGTCTCTACTGTCTCATATTGTCCTAATTCAGTTTGTCCAAATTATTATTACTCTAATTGTATTACTATTTTTATAACCATTTTATTACTATAAACTTTTAAAATTTTAAAAACAAGTGATTGGCATTTTTCACAGGGAATAAAAATCTTGCTCTGGTTATACTTATTAGACCTATTTTAACTTTTTTAAATTTTGAAGGCTGTGGGTGCTGTTCAGCTTGTTCCAGTAGTACTTGTTGAACACTAAGGTGTTGTTTATTCCAGCTGCAGCATAGTCCTCAACTGGGCAGCCCTGGCACCTCACCAGCCCAATCACCAGCACCAGCCCAGCTGTCAAACATGAAGAACATCCGTCCCACACTGACACCTCTTTCTATCGTGTCCCAGTTTTCTAGACCTTTTGTCCCTGGACAAGGTATGTTTTTAGTTAACTAAAATGTGTGTGTGATTCCTACTTGAAAATTTCTATTTGTTTTAAAACACAAGTTATATTGAGGATTTTCTGATGAGTTGTGGCTCACTTTAGTAGTATTGCTGTTGAAGCAGAATCACCAAAATTATTCACTCAAACATCATTTAAAATTTCATCTTATCTCTCTGCACTGGTACTGTCCCTCATATCTTCAAAGGCTTTTCATCTCCCCATTAATGTGTTTAGCACACTGGCTTTCTCATATTGTGACATTTCCCATTTCAGCATTGAAAATATTTATAAAATGTTTGCTAGAATTTGGCTTCAAGTCCTAACCATAAATCATGAGTTGATAATGCACTGAATTGCACCATGGCCTAAGCATGTATTTTTCATTCCTGTGTAGAACAACAAGCATGATGGGATGGAGCCTTTAGCCAGGACTGTACCTCAGTTAGTATTTCAGATAGGAGCCACTCAAGGACACAAAACATTCCTTGTAGAGGAATTGCAATCTTCTGCTGCCATGTCAACAGAAAATAGGGAGTTTTCACTGAGTTGGGATAGTTGATAATACAATGATGTAAACCCCTTTTGTCAGTGAGCAAAAGTATCCTGCTAAAATTCCCAAACTCAAAATTAACAGGTCTGTTTTACAGAAAGATTTACTTTAAAGCAAAACTTAGAGAAAATTCTGTATGTCTCTCTTACTGATAAAGCAAACTTTATTTTCTTGTCTTTATCTCATTTGTTGCATAATCTTTGTCATTGCTTTGTGTTCTGATGTTGTATCAATCCCAGGTGGGCTGTTTGAAGCACACCTTTTAAGCTCCCTTCATCTGCTGTGATTACTGAAAACTTCTGTGCATTGTCTTTGTGTATCCTTGCAACAAACAGGAACCTGAAGATGGACCTGCCTCTAATCAGGGCTGTAACCATGAAATGACCAAATTAGCATGCTGAGAGGAGCTTTAGACTAATTAAAGTCATTTTGAAATGAAAGGACTTAGCTAAGACTGCAGGGAAGAAAAACTTTGAGTGTAATCCCTAAATAGCAGCAAGGTTGTACCTTTTCACCTTGGGATCAGGACAGGGTTGACACTGAGGGAGTCAGGGCAGCTCTGAGTTTGTTAGCCCAGGCAGACTCTCAGCTTTGTGCACAGCAGTTCTGCTTTCTCTTCTGTGTAACATTCTCAGTGTGACAGGGACTTGGAGGAAGCTTTCCTGTACCAGAAAAACCCTTCTAATTACCTTTCTCTTTAAGGAGATGCCAGATACCCATTGCTTGGCCAACCCCTGCAATACAATCCATCTTTGTTACGTGGACAAGTAACAAGCCAACAGGTATTAACAGAGAACAATCTCATAAACAATGAAAAAAAACCAATTCAGGGCTACCATTACAAGCACCTAGAACAGGGGAATGTGTTATTGCACTTGGAGAGTAATTGAGTGGAAGGTGCTGGCTTTGCAATAAGTTCTGTTCCATGTCAATACTCCCCATTGTTCTTGTTTGTTGTATTAAAAAGTGAGAAACATTTATCTGAATAATGGCTTTTGGTTTTAAGTAATTCACTAGCTAATTCAAAAATCTAAAGGGGACCCTTTGCTGAAACTATTTTCTTTTATTCAAGTAACCATTTCTAAAAAGAAAAGTGGTAATTTTTAAACAAAGAGTGGGTTTGTTCCTTTTAAGAAAAACAAACCCAAAATATTGGTGTTAGCCAAGTTGAAAAGTCTTTGCCTCTGTTTCATTTCTGGGACACACAAACCCCCTGCCTCTGCCTTGCTCAGTTCCACCCAATGGCAGCTGGAGGATGTGATGGCTGGGGCAGGGGGATGTTCTTCCAAGGTGATTTCAGGTGATTTTTTTCCCCCATCATTGCCTCCCTTTCCTCTGTAGTGAAGGATTGAATGTGCCTGACTGTAGATTATCAAACTCAGTAACTGAAATTGGATGTGAAGGTCCTCTCTGTCCCATGGCAGTGCAGGTTATTTTCCAGACCTTGCTCTGCACTGCTTGTCACTGAGCTGACATGAAAGTTCAAGGTGCTGGTGGATTGTCATTGAGGTACCCTCTTTATGTCAATCTTCCCAGTGTCAGCCTGGAAATAGACATGGGAACAGGGGAAAGAAACCAGCAAAGAAGGCTGCTTCAGCAGATCTTGGTGCAGGAGAACCAGGTATGGAACTGCTGACTGACACTGTCCTCCCGAAAAATGAATCATGGTGATGGGCTGGGAATGCACAAGAAAAGCTCAGGTGAGAAGGGCCAGAGCCAGGAGAAATCAGACAGAAATGGACATGGCAGACATTGGAAACATAAGGATGGAGAGAGGGGGAAAGGGAAGTTCAATGGGAAAAGTGTAGTTTTGAAGGCTGGAGAAAAGACCAGAGAAGTTCAGGATTGGAGAGTACTCAAAGAAAGAGAACAAGTGTGTCAGTTTACTGGGCCTAAGTTCTATGATATTGTTACATTAAATATTAAATATACACACCCCTGCTTCCTTTTACTGGCCTAACAGGTGAAATCAGACAAAATCCACAAATAACTTTGTGCTCTTTGCTTTGTTTTGGTTTTAGTTTTTCCCATTATAGTATATTTAAGCACATGGATGTTGGAGACATATTAAGAGCTCCATAGATTACCTCTTTGGAATTGGTAAATGTCATCTTTTATGATGAAAATAAAATAAAATCTGATGGCATCTATCTTAATACCTTTATTGAGAATTTTCGCTACCTGCTGTCAACTCTTCACAGAAAGTTACAGAAAAATCAGTTTTTCTAACAATTTAGTGGAAAGGATTTTTTTTGAGGTAAGGCAGACCAGTTTTTTTGGCATGGTGATGTGTGAAATGTTACCAGGCAAGGCCAGTGAGTTCTGAAACCTGCTGCAAAATGAGTTGTTGATGATTTTATTATTTTCCCCTCTTTGTTCTGAGGACCCTCTTTGTATTCCCAGCTTTTATTTGCACACATGTACAAGTAAGCAGATTGTAGTTATAAGCAGTGTTAAATGTGAGACCAAAGGCTCTCTAGAATATCAGGAAGGCAAATGGCAAATGCTGTGGGTTTGGTATCACCAAGTGGAGATACAAGTACGAAATAAGTGATTGTTTGTTGCAGTGTGATGTCATAGCCCATCTCAGTGATCCCGGTTCCTTCCCCAGGTGTGCCAATCACCTCTCCCTTCCCCTCCCTTGCCCCTTCCAAGTGCTGTCTGTGAACCTTGGCATTCCTGAAAGGTTTTGTGTGATTGGCAGAGTTTAAAAGATGCCTCTCAGCCCTGGGGACATTGGGCCATCCAGGTGTCATCTGTCCCCTGAGATTCCCCCCCCTTACCTGGTTAGTGGGATCCCTACCCCTTCCCTCCCCCTCTCCCCGGGGTTAAAAGACCCAACAACCACAGGGTGAGGGAGTTCTGTTGGAGCTGCTGCTGCATTCAGAGGGCTGTGGGCCAGAATAGAGCTCTGGATCCAAACCCTCCAGCAGAACTGTCTCCTTTCCTTCACCTCACCTTGAAGCCTCTCCACCAGAGGCAAACCTGAGCTCCTGCATGCCTGGACTGGTCCCAAGCACCCAGCTGCAATATCCAGCTAGCCAAAATGTTTCATTTAGGATGCTGTATCAATGAGTGCAATAACAGATTCAGATTCACTGTTTCTCTTCTTTCAGTTGTGGGCAAAGTTCTAGAAATTACCGAGCTGCCCGAAGGGATCACTCGCATGGAGGCAGAGAAGCTCTTTGGGGAACTGTTGAAGGTGGGTGCCAAGATCCGGTGGCTGAGGGACTCGCAGTGCCAGCAGCAGCAGCAGCAGCAGCAGCGGCGGCTCTGCGGGGACGGCGGCGGGGGCGCCGGGGACTTGGCCTCCAGCTACACGGTGCTGGCCGCCTTCCCCAGCCTGGCGGCGGCGCAGAGCGCGCTCAAGAGACAGAGCGGCGGCGCGGGCGGCAAGTTCCGCCTGAGGAGCAGCCGGAGGCACCACGAGCCGCACGGCCTCGAGAGGGCCAGCTCGCAGTAGCGGCGCCGCCGCGTTCCCGCCTCCGTCGGCTCGGGGTCCTGGGCTTTCCGTTCTCTCCAGAGAGACTCCTGGGATGTTCTGTCACTTGACGCTTGCCATTGAAGAATGAATAACCCGGTGAATCCAGCAAGATGAAGAAAAAAATTCACGGAGTTGCTCCCAGACGATAGCAAGGAATCATCTTTGCGACAGGCGGCTTTCTGCGAGGAACGCTGCTGGAAATGCCCCCTACTTTTATAGTAGTTTTGTTTTATATTTTTGAAATCTTGTATCAGATCCAAAGTTCTATTGTACAGCAGATGTTCATAAAAATCCATATGCAGATTTGTATTTTATAATCCCTTTTCACAGCCAGCACGCAGCAGTCCATTCCAAGGCAGGAACCTGAGGATTGGTGGAGGGGAAAAGAGAACCATTCTCAAGGAATTATATTCATTTTCTAGCAAACTACCCAACATCTTCAAGTGAACCTGTTCTTTGCCCCTTGTGTGTTTTTTCTTCTTTTCTTTCTTTTTTCCTCTTTTTCTTTTTCTTCTTTTTCTGTTTTTCTTTAAGAAAAAAAAGAATATCATTTTAGTAACTAACTCCTTCGGTGGTCATTGTCTTTTGCAATATTTTCAAACAATGTCAAAAGAAATTACAAGTTTGTACCCTTAAAGAATTTGCTTCTGATCCAGCAAGTTTAATAATTACTAGAAGGGGATTATGCATAGGTTACAAAGAATGTTCACTGAATCACATTTTAATATTTCTTTTTAACAAAAGTGTGAAGAAACTTTATGTATCTTCATACAAGTGACAAAATGTTTGCACTTTAATTGTGTTCCCACCAGTATGGGTCTCTTTCTCTTCATTTTCACGCTAAGATAATTGTGTTTGGTAAGTGCTGGAAACCTTTTTAATAGTTTAAGTTTTCATCATTTGCAGATGCTCACTGGACATTAAAGATTCATTGCACATAAATGAAACAAAACTTTTTTCAACTTGTGTAATTTGCAAGTCTGTACAATGTGTGCTGATGCAAGCCTTTTTCAGTTCAAAAGAATAAATGTTTACAAACACAAACTTTTTCAGTGCACTTGTTTAAGCTTCTAGGAGTCTTCTGAAACCTGGATGATCTCATATTAATGGCTGGAATCCTTTCAAATGTGAGAAAAGATCTTAAACCCACAAATATTAGAGCCTCTTAAAAAAACACCTGCTGTTCCTGCTCTGGCATTTATGTTATCCAGCCTTTCATAATATTCTGTTTCTCTATATAAGTAAAAAAGAGAAAATAGTTGGATGCTGTAAGGGACTGCTCCTGATTTTTTATTTTTACCTCAGGAACTGATTTGCTGTGTAGACAAGCAACTACTTGGTCACTTCCTAAGGCTATCATTTTGTGCATGTGTGACTTCTGAAAGAGGAAACTCAAAGTAAACTTTCTGTTTAAAAACGTTTTACAGGGGATAAAGGTGAAGAATTAAGGTGCCTAAACCAGCATGAATTTCCATTGTTTATACAAATGATTTTATCTCTGAACACCCAAACAGTGATGAAGTACTTGGAGGAAAACTTAGAAACCTGACCAGTCTGGGAATAATGTAGCTTAATGAATGAGTTTTATGGGACTTGATTCTGTGAAATGCTGTAGCAGCAGGGATTTACTAAAGGTCAACTTAGATGCTTTCCTAAAACAAAGGGGAGGATGTTCACTTCAAGTCCCAGATAAAAGACAAATCTACTCATTGCAGTCTGCTTTTCTACAAGGATGGTGCTTGGCATTCAAGCTGTGCTTGACTGAGGATGCATTTCTTGCTGCAGTTTGCTGCACCCAAAGCCCCAGTTTATCAATGACCCCTCCTCTGAGCAGCACAGACAGCATGGCCACTGCTGCATTGTCACTGCCTGCTGCTGATTGCCATGCTAGTTCAGGATTGTGGTTTAATCCTGTAAAAGCAGCTAAGAGATTGAAGGGCTGTAGGGACAGGTGTCTCCCATTGTTAACTCCTTCCACAACGAGGTTCTTCCAAGATGTAGAAGGGCAGGCAGTAGCTGAGAGCTTCCATCTCTTCTGAAAGTCCCCAGCACTAAATCTGCATGAAACCAAACCCTTTCCAAAGGATATTACATGGCTTGCTGCATTTCATAAACTGTCCTCCCAATAAACAGAGAAGAAAAGGTAATGTGAGGTAAGCATGGAGAATGCAGCCCAAGCAACAGGAAGGGAGGGATACACTGGTTAGGAATAAGGCACAGAAAATATTTCATTTTCATCAAAGCAGTTATAAACTTGAATGCAAGTTGCCCTAGAATAAAACATTCAAACACGTAGGAAGCATGTTGAAGTCTAATCCAGAAACTGACCCTTTGCAGTCTGGTCTGCCCCCGTTTCTGAGAATGTTTCACTCTGTGTTAAACAGGGATAGTCACGTTATTGTATCTGGATGTGTTGGTGTGAGCCCCACAGGTCTGAGCCCCACAATTCACAGGACTCTGGCACTGCCAGAGGTTTCTGATGTCTGCAGTGGGCAAAGTGTTAAAATATTTCCACTTCACAGCTGTGTTTATTCCTGGGTTTGTGCTGTTTCATGCTTCCTCTAGAAAGCAAACAGGATGCAGACTCATCTAACCAAGCCACTTTGTACCTTCCTGGCCTTTATCCCCTTCTGCCCCCTTTGGTTTCTTAAACCACACAAGCCCAGGTACTGGGGTGAAAACCCCTAGAATTGCATTTGTTCCACAGATTTGGGTCACAGTCTAGAAAGCAAATAAAAGCACTTTATGCATGTAAAATGCATTCTCATGTTCTAAAGAAATCTTTTAGTACTCCAGTGTATTTGAGCTTCCTCTCATTTACCATTAAAGCTATTTTTAAAGAAAATAGTGGCAAAAGGAATTAAGTGGGGACTTCCATTGCAGCAATATAATATATTTTGTTTTACTGAGAGCGTGTCTTAACTTTTAAAACTAAAGAAAAACACTGGAAGAATAAGCAGAAAAGCTGAACAAGTGCAGCCCTTACCTACTCCACTAAAAGCTACTATTTCTTGATTTTAATTTTTAATTGACACACTTATAGTGCAAAATTCCTCCCTGAACTGTGAACACTTCATATAATGTCTGATAATTAAACCTTAAGAATATAAATTTAAGCCCCATACTTTGAGGACTCCCTGAACCACCTGGGCCTGGTGCTGGAATTGGGTGGCTCATTGCAGCACCCCCTAAACCCCCTCACAGCCCACAGGTGCCTGCCAGGCTGTGGCTGCTGTGTTTGCTAAGGCAGGGCTGGTTGGGAACAAGCATCTTGCATCTCCCCTGGCATTCCTCCCTGAGCAAATGTCACCTGTTCTAATATGAGATGTTTTCCTTTCACTCACATACACTTAGAAAAATGACAGGAAAAGGAGCAGAGTGTCTCTGAAGACAAACCCCGTGCTGTGGTGTACTCAGACTGTAGAGCTTGGGTGTCTCCACCTGCAACCACCCCAAGCCTTTTGCAGGACGTGGTGTTTGAGGATCTGGTGGCACAGGGGTGTTTGCAGGTGGGGTTTTAGCAAAGCACCACAAGAACTGTAGTTCCATGAATCCAGGAAGGTACCTGGGTACAGGGAGTTTTTACCTGTTTCCCATTTCTTGCAAGCCAGTTCCCTCTCAAGGTGGAATGAATAGTTGTATTCTCATCCCATGACACTCATTTGTGCCTTAAAACTTCACACTTGACTTGTCTGTTGTTTTGAGTTAACCTTGTACTAGCCTGGATGCCTGGAAGGGTGTCAAAATTCCAACTTCTATAAATACTATTTAGCTCCATGTTAGATTTTTTCCACATAAAATTGGTGCAGGCTTCAAGTATTTTGCCCTGAAGCAAAGAATGTTTAGATGAAGCTTTGGAGAAAACTGACCAAAACACTTTTAAGTTACAGGTGATGAAAAATTATTGTAGCTGGAATTTTTATATATTTCTAACTATGAAAGGAATTATTTCAATCCCTTCAATGTTTCTACAGCTTGGTTTTCATGAAGGCTGATGAAGGTCTTTTCATGAAGGTCTTCTCTATGTCCTATTCACATTTGAAACATTTTGGGTATTTTGGCTATTGATGTAAGTATAAAATTAAGGTGCACAACATTAATGTGACTTCATTTTGGAAGCTTCATTTCTTGGGTGTAGAACCCTTCAAAGGGCCTGATTTCCAGAACAATCTGAAAATTTAGCCCCTGTAAGTTATCTTATTCTGGAACCTAAGAGCAAAGTCTCCATCCACATCCAAAACCTTCAGTGTAAATTTAAGTTACCTCTTGGATTACTTGAAAATGTGTGCAATTATGTTCTCACCAGGATGTGTGTGAGCCTCCTCTTGCTTCAGTGTCTGCCTCGTGTCCTCAGACCCCCAGGGCTGGGGTTTGGCCCTGGCTCAGCTCAGCAGCCCTCACTGCAAGGTTTAGCTTCCATCCTGCTTGCAACTACCTGGTGTTCTGCAATGTCTGTCAAAGTCTGTTGGGTTGGAAGTGGAACTTGCTGAAGACCTGATCAAGCATGAAAATTTGGTCCAGGACACAAACACTCCCGTGTTTGCTGCTATTTTTTCATTTTCCAGTCTCACTGAGCCATGAAAAGGGATGCTTGCAGCTGTAATGGACTGTGCCTGCACTTGGGAAGAGAAACCCCAATGTCACATGATGTCACATGAGCCTGGTGCTGTAAACCAAAGAGCTGTAGAGGACAAGCTGTGTGTCACTGGCAGCTGTATGCTTTTAAAACTGGAATAAGTTATAAAAATAAACTGTGTTGCTGTGGATAATGCTTAACAGTGAGGTTTATTCTTAATTGAGCTCCTGTGCCCCAGTTCCCTGGGAATCTGAATGAGCTGGGATTGATGACAGCAGTGCAATGTTTCAGAGCCAGGTGAGCAGAGGTGGAAGGGCAGGGACTGACTCCAACACCCAGGGATCTGTCACACTTCATCTCCCAGAATTCCTTGGCAGGTTAAAAAGAATATTTACAAGCAATATTGC